ACCTGCTGCAATCCCTCTGCCCTGCCTTTCCATATGCATAAGCACGCTCCATGGTAACTCTCCCTACCGTTCTCCATCCAGGCTCCATCTTTGGCAATTCCCAGTTTAAGTTTCTACCTTTTTGCGTTCAGCTTTTAAGAATCCACTCTATTGTATATGGCTTTTCTTAGAGGTAAGGTGTAAAAAAAACATGAACTACATGTTTAAAGAACTTTATTAGGATTATTCATATATACATATATCGCAAAGCTTAATGTCAGAATACTAAGAAGAATCATTGTTTAAAGTAAAATACTTTCGATTTCAGAAATTTATAAAAGTAATCGGATAAATTTAGAAAATATTGAATATTTTTCGCACAATTCGTTTGCAAGCTTATTATATATATTATTATATTTATTTCTTAGTACTCTCAAAAAACACTCGCAAAAAGTTCAATCAAATGTGAACTCTATAATTCATAAATACTGTGATAATTTTTTGCTGAGAGAAGAATGAGTGAACTCATTATTTTTTCACTACTGGTAATCAAATTAAAAGACTAAATTACATCTGAACGCGTACAAAAGGATGATCAAAATGTAAATCTACAGCCATTACCATGATAATTTTTTCATAGTCACTTGATAACTGTTTTGAAAAAATTTACATTTTGTAAATAGACCTCTCACTTAAATATTCATTTATAATTTATTCATTGTAACACTTGTTTAAATTTTATCATTTTTTCCAGTTCAGCCCTAGAGCATTTATAGCTCGGCGTTGCTCTTGCGGCTTTTGCCAATTTCTCATCATTCCTTTTTCTGTGTTGGAGTTATTACAGAAAGTTGGGAAGCATAAAAATTTCTTACTACTTGTCTGCAACAAACCGTAAAAACTTATGACTTGTCTGTTGGACGCACACAGCGCACACATATAGGTAAAAATGGAGAAGGAGAGGGTCCGGAAACTGACCTGGGAGACGCGGTGCGGAGATCTATATCCGCTTTGTCTGCCTGGAACAGACCTTGATGTTCTTGTTGCTCTTCTGCCGCCACTGCCGCCGTTGCACTTTGTTTGTTTGTTTGTGCCGGTAATATTTCCTTAAATCGAGTAAACAAGTGGAGTTCAACAAAGCGGAAACGGAAGCACAATGCGTAGCTTTCGTACACACTCACACACGCGCGCGAGTGTTGCTTCCTTCATGTAAGGAGTTTCCCAAATGCGGGGGATATTGTCTCAAAATATGGCGGCAAATATATTTTCGCTCAGCTGCAACAACATCCAACTGCGAAAGGAGCGCTTCTTGCTTAGACAACGTTTTGTTTTTCTTGGAAATTGCTGTTAAAAATAACAAAAGCCCGTCGTGAGTTCCTCTTGCTTGCTTGCCAAGTTACATCCTTCCTTTTCGCTCGGCTGTTGTTTATCTTAGTTCCACCTACTATTCCGTGTCCTTAATATCCCTCACCCACCACCCATCGCCCTCATTTGCCCACTCAATTGAAATCGAGACTCACACAGCGAACGAAGCGGCAATTGTATTTATTTGCACAGCTAAATGGCATAATCGAAGGCAACTCGGTTCAAGGACTTTGAAACGTTTCTGGAGGCAATTCCCCATGGACAGGCTTTGTTGTCGTGTTGTCTCAATTGCAATGGATCTTGTCCTGATTTCAACTTCCCATTCGCAGGCGATTCAGATTGACACGCTCTAGGGTTTATGTAGGAAAATTACTGAATTTTAAGTGGGTTGTGGTCATAGAAGATATAAAAGAAAGCAAAATCTTTTCATTGTATAGAAAACTGTAAACTTAAATGCAAATTTCTTTGACAGAATTTCACAGAAATCATTAGATATTTTCTAACAAGCTGTTTACATTTCTGTAGAAAAACTCCATTAATGGATTCCTAGAACTATGTCTGACCACCAAGTTTAACGCACTGAAATATTATTTACTTTTCCTAATGAGTGATAATCGATAAACGAATGACTGCTTGATGGTTCTTAGCCTCAATAGCAGCTTGTTGACAGATTTTCCGCCTCACATTTTGGGGGCTGTCTTTGCTCTAGATGTTGACGAAGAAAACCCAGGAATAACTTCAAAGTAATGTTAGGTAAAGTTAAAAAGGGAACATTTATTAAATTCCACTTAACTTCCCTGCCGGTCTCTTATTCACTCTTAACTATACTCAGCCGGGGGAAAATTCTCAAGGAAAAGGGCAAGAAAAGCCTAAAGCAACTAAGAAGTTTGAGCTGCTGTTGATGTTTTCGTTGGCATATTTCCCGTGCCTTTTCATCTCTCTTCAAAACTGCCAGCATAGCTGCTCGGGCTCCAAACGGGAAAGTTCAAGAGTTCACCAGCAATAACTTTAAATAGGAGAGACACATCCTGTAGCTACCAAATTGTTTGTCATCAAATTATGTATATTGTCGATTTTTGTAGCCGATGTTGTTTCTTCTTTTTTTTTTTTTTTTTTTTTTTTTGGTTGGTATGCTGTTGCGGCCAAAAAACCACTGACGACAGGGTGGAAAACAAAAAACGGGCATCATTAAAATGCTGTTACCGGCCTCTGGTCTCTGGATTCTGGACTCTGGACTTTGGGCAATGCCAGAGCTTGACCCCGAAACTCTTCTGTGTCGGCAGAGGGCAACCGCAACCAAGATTGCTCAGGCATATACCCTTTTTTAATTTGCAACATGTCATTGGCAGAAAGACAAGCAAAAGGGACGTAGATGCGGTGTGAGAGAGTCGGAGTTGTGCCCAGCCGCCTTGCCACGCCCCCCGTCAGCTCACGCTTTGTTGCGCCTTTTGTTGGGACTTCTCTTGGTTTTTCCCAAACGCTCCTTTTTTGCGTTTTGACCAAATAACCCAAGCAAAAACAGAATTAGCAGCAACGCCGACGACAGCGACGGGAAAAACACAAGATGAAGCGCAGGCAAAACAGGACACGGCCGAAATTCACGGCGAGGGTGGCAATTAAAGTTATTGAATAACAACAGAGGAGGTTAAATACGTTAAAAAATAGATGTACGAAAACCACTACAATATATTATTTTCTATAAAAATTAATTCCATTATTTTATGAATATGCTTTCCTTTCAGGCTCAAAAAAGTATGCTATGCTTTAGTTAGTAAAACAATGTAAGAAATTTGTTGGTTACCAGACTGCATTTCCGAGAATGTATTATTGGTTTAGTTTTCTCTTCATTGAAATACCGTTCTTGTAGCCATCACAGACATTTCTTTGATTTATTTCCCAAGAACGAACCAGTTTGTAATCAATATTTGCAAGCAAATCTTTCAATCGACCTACGATGGTCACCGCAAAAACATTTACAGTGTGATAGACGATGGGAAATGACCAAAAAAAGGCAAGAGGGAAAGGTAGGTGGTTTTGGGTCCAAAAGGGAAAGAGAAGATTTGAGAGCGAGTGGGATAGCAGATACAATGTCATACAAATGACCCATATTAAATTTATTACGGCTCCGGGAACAGCACAATGAAATTCAATAGCCAACAGAGAAGAGAAAACCTAATGGCAAGCAAAACAAATCAGCAACGCCTAAACCGACAGACTTATGTACATATAAGAAGATATATATTGTGCTATATATAGGAAATGGTTATTGTAGAATGGTGGAAAATGGGAGGAGGGGGTCGGGCATGAAAATCAGCTTAAAGTCGATTTTTTGGGGTAAACTTTTTACTCTCACTTTTATGTTTTTCGATTATGTTTTGTTTCCGTTACTTTTTGGTTTGCTCCTGCTCGTTCGGTTTTCCCAAATTGATTTATAATCCTGTCTCGAATTTCCCCCCTTTTACGTTTCGGTGTATTTTTGAAGAAAGTTTTGCCTTTCAGCTTGGCGCTCAGATTTTAATGAAATATTTCAATTACTTTGCGATTAATTGGGAAAACATTTTCCACTGCATATTCGAGGTGACGCGTCGCAGCAGATTCGTGCTCACTGGCATCGAATTTTCTTTCTGTTTACCTGCGACATGTGCACGAAGCCCATTATCCTGCAGCTAATTAAGAAACGTGAGGCAAATGACAAGCGCCGGAAAATATTGTGTGGCATGCGACAACCTCAAAAGAGACATGTGTGTCGTATAAAAATGAAAGATGGCAATACAGTGACAAGATATTGTAGCAATGTTGCTCTAAGATTAAGGATACTCTGCAAGAAGAGTCACACTTAAACTATCAAAAAAAAAAAAATTTTAAATGGGTTTTAAGAAAGGAAGACTTCTTGCTCTTGAAAATGTGGAGGAACCTTAGGGTTTCTTTTAATTTTTTCATCAGTTCAATCAAGTTTAACATATTAGTAATAATGCCCTTCTAAACACCCTACAAGAAGGCAAAATAAAACACATAAGCCATGAAACTCACACACAGAAAATATATATATATAAATAAGTAAGTACACACAGCCAAAGCGTGCTGGGCTTAAGACTGTAGCCAAGAAATTTATTAATTATCAACTGGCCGAGGTCGAGATTGTAGATGTTCTGCCACTTTGGCCCCAAACGGGTCGAGGAGGAGCGCTCTTCCAGCAATACCGACAAACACCCACCAGCACAGACAATCACAGTAAAGTCCTGATTGGCATTTAAAGCTCTTTAGGATAGCTCTTCATGCCATCCATCGAATCGAAGGATCTGAGGGGGTGGAAGCCGAGGGTCGAGGAGGCTGACAGCAAAAATCGAAGTGGAGTGACTACATTGAGCCTCAGCTGAGCTGCTTAACGCTGCCAGAGTTCTGACGTAATCCATGCAATTGTAAATTTAATAAGGCCAACAGTAAAGGGGCAACGAGCGGAGGCTCTGAGATTTGTTGTCGTGGTTTTCTGGCTTGAGACAGTGAGGAGTCAAGCCAATTAAGCTACCGAGGAGCTGTGGTCATGAGCTTTAAGAAATTAGCCAAGAATACTTTCAAGTGCCCAAGTTCACTGGCATCGTCCTCAGAAGCTCCAAGCCAAGAGGTTGAAAATCTAAACCAATTCCTTTTATGAGGATTCCCTTAGTGCATGAGTTATGAAAAGTAAGCAAAACCGAATAAATCAAAACGGAAGATTAGGTAAAACGAGCAGATTTAAGTTAAAGGTTGTATCATTTTACACAGTACCTTTGCTTTTCCTTAAAAGTCGCAATAGAATAACCAATTTAACAGATCCATTTATATATTTTTTATATCAAGTAGTCTTAATAGTTGTGAATGACAAACCAAAACTAGGAATTTGTTAAATATTTTCCAGTAACAATTTATTACCATTTATAAGAATTAGGTTCACTAATCCTAGATAATATAACTCAAAGAAATTTAAAACTCAAAATGACATCAGACGATGGTAATGAGGTCTGTTCAAAATTGGTAGAGTTCAGAATAATGGATAACACTGAGAAATCTGCTCTGGACTTTGCAGAAAATATGCTCTCGGATATGGATCAGTTTTGGGGTGGAACATTTGTTGACGGTCTTTTGGATTATTTGAAGATACCAAATATTTTGAACGAACCGCGTCAGTGTGTGAAGTCCTTAAGGGTCCTCCATGAAATAACAACACATTGCACAGAAGTGGATTTATTACGTCTATCTACAAACACAGATGTTCTCGACTTGTTAAGGACAATCCTGGAAACCCCAAAAATTCGGAAACTAATCGTTCGCACTTCGTTGACCTTGGTCAGCAATTTTATCCTGGATGGATGGCCGAATCGTGATTGCATCTTTGAATCAGGAATACTCAATGCAGTGCTCAAGCTGATGAATCCCCATCGCCAGGAGTTACCGAAGTACAAGGCGTTGATGGGCCAAATAATATATTTGCTATATCAGTATCTGAGGTACAAAAATGTGGGACCCAAAACGGTTTCCTTGGAGAGAATAGCTAAAGCCCTGGCTAAGGTGCTAAAACCGTCTCAAGATGTGGATATCATCCTGCCACTTTTGAAGATTGCTCGTCTTCTCTCTGAATATAACAGTGAAACTCGGTCGGTAATGATTTTCTCAGGTCTCATTAGTCGAGTGGCTCCTTTCGTTTTGCACCCTTTGCCTGAGATCAAGCGAGAGACTATTTTCATTTTGGCCAACACCTGTATGCAGCGACACAATAGAAAAAAAGACGATCTCTATCGCTTTTCCAAACGCCTTATTAATTTAATCAGTGATTTGCTTCTTTCTGGTCCGGTTGAAATCAGAGTCTTGGTCAATCACCTACTGTGCGGAATCATAGATAACCAATGCATAAAGATCGATATGATGCTGATAGTAATCCCAAAGATCATTCGGTGTGCCAGTGCGGAAGAACAAGAGATAGAAGTCCGTCTAGCTGCAGGATGGACCCTGGCCAGCCTGGCCATGCATTTGGATCCCAAGATCTTTCCCGTGTTTATCACGTTTAAGGGATATAATGTACTCTGCGAGTTGCTGCACACCGATCTACCTGTTCAACTTGTTAGAAATATCCTATCTGCTTTTGTCAGGCTCATCGAATCGTTTGTCGTTATGAAGCCCTATTGGATAGGAGTCATGTGGGAGACCAATACTTGGCCAGTTTTACTGAAACTTCTAGAAAGTAGAAACGCTACTGTCAATACTTTGGCGACTTTACTAAACCGTCATGGAGATCGAGGAGATGTATGTTGGATAGATGTTTTAGGGGGCTAATATACCTTGATACGCCTTGATTGTGAAGAAATTTCCAAAATATTGTTAAGTTTTTAACGTAATTGTAAGAAAAGAAAGGCTTCCCTTCTATTTCGTTGATCAATCAACATATAATCTATATCATTATCAGCCTAATGCAAACCTATTTAAAATAAACCTATTTACAGAGTTCAGCAAAGGTTAAAAAAGCTTTTATCCGTCAAATGGCCAGCTGTAGCCCTTATTAAAACGTTTCCGAATTTCATGCCAAACAACGCACACATACATTTTCAGTTCATTTCGGGCTGGGAACGATTCAATTATTATTACACACGCTAATTGAATGGCTACCAATCTATGCTAATACATATATTATTTATGCATTTTTCCGAAAATTTGTTTTCCTTCTGCTCGCTGACGTTGTTGTTGGTGTACATTTGCGAGGAGAAAACCATAAAAGTTGGTCCGCTGTTGCCGCTGCCGCTTTTACCATTTCAATTTGTTTGTTGAATACTTTTTTTTGTGTCCCAACCATTCTTTTTTTTTCGTTGCGGTTGTTGTGTTCTCTGAGTGTTTGTGTGTGTGGGGGAATTTACATTTTCGTTTTTGCGCAAAAATTTCACAAACTAATTGTATGTAAATATGTCAAATGTATGTCGTCAACACCTGCATGTTTGTATGCGTGTGGCAATGGGGTGTGTTTGTATTGCATATTGACAATTTCATAAATGCGGTAACATTTTCAATTAAATATGCGCAGCTCCGGCAAACACAGCTGCACAAATCGCCACACACATACACACGCACGTTTGTGAATTTTTCCTGCCACGCCCTCACAGAAAAGCTCGCCCCCCTTCAATGCCATCAATCCCGTTGGAAAGTCGATTGATATGTACAATGTACATATGTGTGCAGGTGTGCAGGTGTGCAGCTTTTTGGTCGGTTACAAATTGCAAATCAATCAATAAATAATTGAAATGAAAATCATTTTGCTGGTTTCAACTTATCTTCTACAGACTCTCACTCCGCTCCGAATGCGTTACGTTTCGTTTCGCTTCGGTTTGACTACGTATGCAAATGGGCCAAATTGTGTACATCTATCACTGGGATCGCATCAGAGAGCCCAAATCGAAATAGCCCAGACAGTTCTGGGCGGAAAGGTGACAGACGACGGGCAGGAGTTCAGAATAAATTGCGAGTCCTTCGCCAGGTGTATGAGATTAGTGATGAACTAAACTGTGGGAATATTTCTTATTTTCACACGCAAACTGATAAATTGGATATATATAAATAGGATTTCATATATTTTATTTTTGAGTTGTTAGAAATACTTCTACTATTAGAAAAAAAAGATGCTTCCTCAGATTTTTCCTAGGAAACATTCACAAAGCAATGAATTATATTATAAAAATTATAATCTAACTTATATATAAAAAGCAAAAATCTTTGAAAAACTCTTAGATACAAACCAGCAAAATTTTCATCTATTCCTTAAAGCAATGATTCAAAAATCTCTACGTCTTTCTTCAAGAATACTAAATCCCCTACTGTTCCAATTAGTTCCAATCTCGAAATATATAAATATAAGCCCCAAGCCGCTCATTTTCAATGCATATATGTTCAATTTTGATTAACTTGTGTTTCAGATTTGTATTTGCATTTAATTGTATAACAAAAATAGTTATTTATTTGGTTCGAGAAGCAATTTCAGAAAATTCACTCGGGGTTTTTGTTTTATTGGAAATAATGCTGATAACCGATTTGGCGCCTTTCCAGCCCAAAATGTTTGTCATTTTCAATTTGAAACTCTGTCAAAATTCCAGCATGCTGGAGAGGTGGAGGGAGTGGAGTGAAGGCGGCATTTGGCTCAACTTATGTGTGCTGGGGGAAAATTCGCTTAGCCAAGCCACTCCAGTGAGCTGCTCCATCTACGGGTTAAATTTAATTTCCAAAAAGTTCCACTTTTGTTATTCCTTTTTCTTGTCGCTTCTATTTTTTTTTTTTTTCAGCTCTCTTATTTTTTATACTTTTTTTTTAGTTATTCGCGGAGCTTCGTTTTTGTCGTTATGCCAAAATCCCGCACAAATCCTTTGAGCTAGCACACGAACAGCTGCTTTTGGCCAGAGTCATATTGTTGTTGGCCCGTTGCTTTTGTTGTTTTAAGCGTTGCTGCTTTGGTTGCAGATTTACGCACCAACAAATCGTGGAATTTTATTTTGCAGCAGAATAGTATGAAATTGGTCTGGAAAATGGGGGATACAACCAAGGGGCGCGACATTTTCAATTTCGCTTGTGCATTTCACTCCCCCGCACCCTCTTGGTACATACATACAAGTCGATGCCCATCGATCCGATCTTGATTGCATTTCGTAAATACAAACAGCAGTAGGCTAGACAAAATGCACACACGCAGGCAGGCAGGACAATGTCATCTGCGGCGACAATTCAATCAATTTGGACACCTGACAGGTGAGCTCAGGTGACAATTCTCAGCAAGCTTCTGTGCTTGCTCATTTGTCTTTAACCATCTTAAATATTTCACCTCGATGGCTGTTCACTTTCGATAAGATGATTGGTCAATGCCAATTAATTTGCTTCATCAACAATGAAGACTTAACGTTTTAAGCCTTTTCAGACTCACTAAAATATTGTGCATATCAAAGAGTTAATATGTTAGCAAATGCACTTTCTGTGCACTCTGAATTGATAAGTGAAAAGCTGACAACTTTGAGATTGAGGCCTACACGGCGGATGATTAATGAAAACTTTTAGTTTCTAATCAAATAAAAACGTTTTATCTTTGTTATTTTATAACTGTAATGATTACTCAAAAGTAACTATTGAATCTTATTGATATAAGTATAGTGAAGGACAATGCAGTTTTCGGTCTTAATCACTTTATTTAATGGCCTAAATGCCCCAGCCTAGTACATATATAATATATATATTTAGCAAGTAATTTATTCTGTAGTAACCGTAATTTCAAGGACCTTTCATGAGGGCTCGAAACGTTTTTGTTTTTTAATTTCTAAATAAACTTTGCGGCTGTACGATGGTAGCCGTGTTGGCGATGGCGTGTCAAGAGCAGGTCTCTGCCACCAGGAGCCGGAGCTAAGGGAGGAGCAGGACCAAGAGCTAGAGCTGGAGCAGCCTCCTCTTTTGCGGGCCATCACACAGAGCAGAGCCTTGCAATCTAAATAAAGCTGAAGCCGAAAAATAACCCCAAAAACCCTTGAACCGAACTTTTCCCACTTGCAGCGGCGCAAATGAAGTGCCACATGAGCGAATGTAAGTGCGGGGGAATGTGCATAGGGGGAGGTAGGGGTAGGTGAGTGCTAGTGTAAAAGCAACTGCAAGTGCATTTGAGCGAGTGCGAGGGCGAGTGTGATTGTGCAAGTGTTTTTATTAAAACCGAATGACAAAGTTTTCCCTCGAACAGAAGCTGCCGTTTCCACAGCCAGAGAGCCCAAAACCCAACAACGTCAACAACAGCCAAAAGCTAATTTACACTTTTGTTGTTTCGGCTACTTTATAGACGCCATCGTGTGTGTGTGTGTATGTGTGTGTATAACGCCATAATGGAAAAACTATTTTGCGAGGAACAAATGTTGTCAAAAAATTTGTGAATGCTAAAAAACAGTCAAGTGACTGTGAATAAAGGAGGCGGGTCTGCGGTTCATGGCAAAAAACAGAAAAACTAAAAAAAAAAATAAAAAATACGAAAACGGAAGGAAAAAAACAAATCAAATGTGTGAACTTTAACACTATTTACCGCCCAAAGAGTGTGCAGCGGAAAAAGTTTATTCATTTAGCTCAACGAGCGCAGAAGGCAGCAGCCAACAGCCAATCCCGTGTGCCACGCCCCCATTCAACTCCTTCTGCCACTCGATGTACAGAGCATTTCGAGCTCATTTTGCACACAAGTGGCCTCAATTTACATTACGTATGCCGTGTAAGCTCATTAGACTTGATACTGATACAAGCATGGTCTAAGTGCACTTTTTTTATAATTTTCAGCCGGTTTTCCTTTTACCTATTACCTTTGGCAAATGTCTGGGGAAAAAGGATACGTCTCAATTAAAACGTATTTTCGTAACCTTCGAACTTGCAGTTCACCTTAATTTGCAGCTGCAGATGCTTTGCTATACTTTTACCTGGGTTTAATGTTTCTTCGATATTTTATTGAGATTAACATTGATTTTGTAAGCAATGAAACTAACGAACTTACAGCTTCACAAACAAAATATATTCAAAATACAAAATAACAATGCATATTCGACCTTTGATTAATAAACATTTTTGGCCAAAACTTATATCTAGATCTATGCCGCGTCCATCTCCGCCCTTAAGTATACCCACCAAAAAACATGTCTGTGACACTCGTCGTGTAGTTGGCACCCTGTCAGCGGTGAAAAATGTATGTGGATATGAGTGAAAGAGAAAACTAGCCACCTACAGCGAGAATGAAAACAGGGAAAATGCTACAAGCCAGCTAGGGGGACAAAAAGAGCCTGCTGTCCGGGAAAATATTAAAAAAAACAGCGTGAAAATCTGTGGCGAGTCAATGTGGGTGACCAACTCTTTTCCATTTTTTCGCCAGCGGTCTAAATTGGTTAAGGTGTGGGTGTGAATGGGTGGTGTGGGCAGTGGTGCAGTGGTCATAGTTATTCCGGCGGTTCTAGTTGTCCTGATTCAACTCGCTTGGGTTAATTGTTTTTATTTCGCTAACTCGCCGCGAGAAGCGTGAAAAAATTCAACGAAACGAGACCCAAACCACCGCAGAGCTTTGAATAACTTTCAGCTGCCGCAAAATATTGGCTTAACGTGCCAGGCGTTATATTTTCGGTTTGCATGCTAAAAAAAAAAAAGAAAAAAGAAGTGGCAAACAAAAGGAATATAAGTAAGAAGAAAAGAGACCCGTGGCTAAGCCGGAATATGCGGTGTGGCCAAAAGAGCAGGTTGGCAAAAACCACCTCCCATTTCTCCACCCCACTGCGAGGCCAAGTTCATTTGCAGTTTTTCTCTTTTGAGCCAAGTACAACACAAATAATGTTTAGGCTTCTCTGAGAGACTTAAAAACGCGAAGGTGGATTGCACTAAAGTTAGAAAAAAAAGTTATGAATGGGCCGAATGTGAGTGATGAATGATGTGGAGCTCAGACTGATCCAAAGCCAATAGCTTCCGTGAATGATAAATGTAAGAGCTGTGACATAAAAAACTCTCAGACGGCTGTTTCAAAAAGCCATACAAAGTCCGTAGCTGTTGCTAAATTCCCAAAAAAATAAAACCAATAAGCCTCTGGATTTTTTAATTAAAAATTGTAAGCCCATTCATGGCTGGCATTTTGTACAAATGGGTTACAAATTAAATTTATATTATGTAAATATTAATATCACTACACTTTCTACTGACAAAAACCAAAACTGTTTTTTGATGGCTTACATTTGTTTTTGGATCGTGTTGCTAATTTAATATTATAGGTATTTCAAACAAACACGATGGGGGGCTATGAAATGTAATATCAGTTGAAGTAGTCCATTTAATCTTTTTAACAACTTACCCCCTTTATTGACTTAAATGTATTTATTTTGAGGCCTTTTATTTGGCCGATTGTTGTTTTCGGTTGTTCAGCGCAATTACACAGTCGCCTATGTATGTAGTTAAAGCCGACATTCGTTTTTTATACCGTTCTGCTGGGTTGTGTTGTGTTGGTTTCTCGTTTTTCAACTTCTCCATTGCAATGGCAACAATTGCTGTTTGCTGCTCCTGTGGTTGTTGGCCATTTCTCCCCTAGAGCGCATGTATTCCCTATAAATTTTTTACGATTTTATGCAATTGTATAGTTTGCGAAAAGTTTGTTGCAGCCATTTTTCGGTGCCGCCGTAGTGGCATTGTTTTTAACAAAAACAACAATGCCGACTACAATGCACCAGTCGACCCAGAGCGACACGCCCACTGGAAGTCCTGCCGGCTTGCTGCCCTGAAACACCCCCTCTCAAACCCCAAAACATCCTTTTACGGGATGGGCCCGCCGCAAACGCGCCGAACAAATGAACTCGAATGTCCTTTATATGCGTTCAGTGTTTATTGTGCCATTTTCTATGGCTTCTGTGTCCTAGGCTCTGCGCTAGAAAACTTGGCAACAATTTGTTGTAGCTTCTGCTTTTGCTTCTGCTCGGGCGGTTTTCCTTTCGTTGTGTGCTGGCTGAGGCAAGGAACTAAAAAAAAAGAGTGCATCTTCAAGGCCCCAATGCGGACACCGACCAACATCGATCCGTTTCGCAAAAGCTTTTGGATTAAATTCTACATAATTCATGGCTATTCTTGCACCCAAAAAAATAAGAAGAGAAGAGCACACCAAATTCTAGACTTTAATGCGGCAAGTCTTAGATGAGTTCGGCCGGAAGTTGGAAGTTAGCGGAAAAGTTTGTGACACATTGTATCCCGGCTTGTTTGCTGACAAAAAACGACTGCTTGGACTGATACAGATTTTTGTTTATTGTTCTAGTCAAAGTTGTTCTGATTTAAAGAAAGTTTGAGAAATATAAACAAAATCATTAATTTAACAAAATATAAACTCAATTGTGAAAGTTAACCCATCTTTTAGTTACAAAAACTCTTTATCAAGGTATCTGACTCGCATTTCTCGTTTAAGAAAATACTATAGACCCCCTGATCTCACTTCTTTAATGGAAAAAATGCTTATTTTGTTTGGCATTAAAAAATACAGAATTCTGCCTGTCCATCAATTAAATATTTCGCTTGTTCAGCTATGGGGCCATGAGGGATATGGCATTTTTTTAAAGCTTTATTAAGCAACTGCAATGCATCCGATGTGGAATTATATTGGCACTGCCAGCCACCAACACCCCCGCTGCCCTTCCAGTTGTCGCGGCTTCCTTTCATAGACAAATATTGCATGGCAGATGCCCTGCGGAGGACCTTCTGCACTTTCCTCATGAACAGGCACGTACTCCTATACCCTTGCAGGAGATATTATAGCTTGAGTCGGACCTCTTGTGGGCAATTCTAGACCCTATAAATGTCAAATAAACACGGATTGTTTGTTATTTTCTACGCATTTTCCAAAAGAAATTTATATTTGTAAGAGTTTCCAAGAATCTATTAGGATAAAAATAATTTCCAAAATTCTAATTTTTCTATCATGTCAAATGGGTTAAGATCTGTTGTTGATTCTTTTCTTTCTTTAAAGTATTTTAAAGATAAAATAATCAGACTGTTTTGCAGAATGCCTTTGCGTAAAATCAATTTCAGGGTGTTAAAACTTTCGCCGTCCCAAGTAAATCTACATTCCTCGTTTTTTTTAATGTCGCTTTCAACGATCTGTGGAACCTCACATGCCACCCGGCTCAGTCGACATTTTCCGAGGGCTCCACTCCCTTTTACACAGCATGGAAATGTCGCGGCTTTTGCTTTCCCCAGCTTTTATTCCAGCTGATTTTTTTTATTATGGCTCTTTTTGTTTTGCCGTGCCGCTGTTGTATTGCCCGTTGTGTTCCTGCCGGTGGTCAGTTACGGGTCATGATGGCCGCGGAGGACGTTCGGTTTATATTGAAAAATTTGAATGCTAGTAAAAAGTTTTAATTGTCGCCGCCACGGCTGTCACATGTTGGCCTGTATGGTGGGGGGACATTTAAAAATGCTGCCGCTACCGATGCATCGCGATGCCAACGATGCCAGAGACGCCGCTGCTGCTACTGCCTGTTATTGTTAACAATATTTTTCAATACAATTTTCCCTTGATTAAAATATGCAATGCACTTGTTTTCCGCCGGGGCATTCAGCCAATCTATGCCGGGCTTAAAGACACTCCTCCTCCTTTTCGGTTCACATTTAATAGTTGTTTATTTGCTGGAGCATGTGCCGAGTTGCAAGATGCATTAAAATAAATGTACACATATACATATTTTCCCAAAATAAATCAGCGAGTCTTATTGCCCCAATAAGTTTTCACCATCCTGCTCCAGTTTCATGTTTTAAAAATAAAAATTAAAAATAAGAAGAGAAAAAAATTCACGCCCTTTTCGTTTACTTTGTGCATTTATAATTTACACTCTTCGCCTTGTCTTGCTTGTTGTTTATCTCCCGACTCGAAAAGTTCGAACTGGCTAAAAGTTTTTAATGAGCAACGACGTTGGCCGTCATCGTCTTGGCCCCCTCAATCCCTCGGCTACTCCAACCAACCGCTCCAATTGCACGCGGAATTTCTTGCTGAAATTTGTTGTGCATCCTCGCGAAATGTTGGAGTGAAATCGTGACAGAAAGATGGGTGGCTTAGCCGGGAATGGGGGACAAACAATTATCAAAAGCTTTAAGTTTTCCCCAGAAATGTTATATTTTAATCAAAAGCTTATCCAGTTACGTTTTCAGCCAAAAACTTGGCCAACCTTGATCAAGTAAATGTATACTTTTTGTAACAAGTCCTTGCTTTTATTATCCTGCAATGACACAAATTTAAGACCAATTGGGTAAACTACTTATACGTTGAATGATTTATCTTTAAGTCCAGTTTTTTTTCTTAAATATTCTGTTAAGAAGAAATTGATTTCGATTCATTAAAGGATAACGCTGAAAACCAGCTTGAGGTAAATTAGAGAGCATTTAAACATTAATGACCGTTGATAGCTGCTTAGTAAGTTAATCTCTTTATTAACTTTGCTCGATTTAAAGCAGTTCGAATCTTAATATATACGTTTGGTTTACTTCGAATATATCTTGGATATGCCTTGTTATATACTCTCCATTTGCCTTGTCCGCTTCTTCAAGATGACTTCCTGTATTTATCCTGCTGACTTCACGTTTAATCCTTCAAGATCCTTATACGACTGGCCAAGCTCTCCTTATTTATTATGGATGTGGGTGTTGCATATTAATCTCTTAAAGTGTAAGCCCACATCCATCCTTTCTGGCGGCGGGCGAAGTGCATTCAATTCCAAGTGCAGGTCAAGTGGCCGCCAAAGTAAAAAAGCCGCAACGTGAGCACATGGACGAAAACAAACTGCTCTCCTTCGCTCACAGGAGGCTGCTCTTTTTAGTCCTTGTTTTTTTTAGAACAGTTAAAGGTGCGCAGGCGCAAGGAGTGGAATATCAGAGTGGGTTGTTTTGGCCACTTTAGTGGGATTACTGCCTCTTAGGGGACTCCCCCCGTTCACAAACTGAGCCGCAGTCTTTGGTCGTCTTCACTTTGGCGGAAATTTGCGGCATTTGTTCAAGGTGACGGCGGCATCTTTGTTCGCTGGAAGCGCATGCAAATCTGTCAACAAATTGGCGGCGATTAGGAGCCAACTGTTAGGCACTGCCTCACCCGCCACTCCACAACTCCCAGTGCTGTTGGTCAACAATTTAGACATAATTTGAAAGCGTCGCTTCGTTCCACACGCAATGTCGCTTACGCAATGGCCACACATCCAAATTATGCATAATGGCAATGGACAGTGGGCCAGGTAAGCCGCCGGCAGGTGTGACGGTCAGGAAATCCACCGTGAAAAACTCTCCCAACCATGCCACTCTGCCACCCATAAATTGGCATTAGTTTCGGGGCGCGGTGGCCATTTTTGGGTGCATCGTCGCCGGTGGCAGGCATCGGCAGCTTAATAACTTTTATGCGTGTTTGCATATCGCTCATGCATCGAATTTGATGGAAAATACGTACGAGCAACGCCTCACGCCCAAAATGCACCACAGGGAGTCATGAACAATTTGCTAGAAAAAGTGCACCAAAGAGATTGCGATTGGAGAATTCGATTAAAAATTGTAACCAATGAATTTCGATACAGTTACCAATTTGATGGCAAACGCTGCACTAAAGCCATGTTTTTATTTGATTTTAATTTTTATGGGTTTTTTAAACCAATAAAAAGCCAGTCCATGTTGTTCTTTAAAAAGAGTTTGAATAATGAGGTAAATTCCGCTTTATTCAGATTATAATGTGAGTGATATTTATCACCAGGCAAAGCAACAAACTGTCACCAGCTTATGATGAAGTGAATGTTATGAGGGCTGTATGTAAAGCGGAATATGTTAAACAACTCCAGGTGTTTGACACTTTATGATGGGTACATGTAAATGCAGAATATATTAATCGACTCGCAGGTGTTCGTGATAAACTGATAAACAGTTCGGCTTTTGTATAAACTCGTATTTATATAGAGGGAAAAATCAACTCGAATTTTATTACTATATTTTGTAGTTCATTTGTTTGCCGGATCTAGCCGGCATTGGGACTTTGTTTACTCTTCGTATGGGTATAGACAGAGAGGGGTGAGCCATCTCTTATCGGTCGTACAGCAAAATAAATATTGAATATACATCGAATTACAGTATCATATTTGGGGGATATGTTTCACAATAACTCTACTTCTCGGGCACATTGCACTGCTGGCAACTCTCCATCTGGGCCGTATAGTCCTCGATCTGGATGGTGGTCTCAAAAAAGTTGTAGCGCAAGTGAACCGCCGATGTGGCTGCATCCAAGATTTGCTTGGGATTCGCATTTTCAGCTGTGCAATGGAGGAGATTAAGAAGAGATAGGAAACGATTAGGCGATTTGGTATTATCAGAAGGATAACACTAATGGGGGGTGGTGGCCCCAGCAGCAACTCCATTGCTTTCGCTGGCTCTGGCTCTATCAAAATTGTCCACGCTTAAAAAGCCATTTCAAAAATAATTAAGCTAATTGCTCACTGTCTGCCCATGGACATGGCCATGAAACAGTGCCAGCAGCGCAGGGGGAACAGCTTAAAACAACAACAAATCCATTGGGATAATTACCCTCCATGCCCAAAAGCGCGGCACCTCCACCAACCCACCCACTTAAGCCCATTCGGACAAACACATGCATCAGGGCGAAAGGCCACCCAACGACCTTTCTGGTCTGATTCGGTTTGGACTGGTCTGGCCTGTTCTGGTCGGGAAGCAGGCCGAGCTGGTCTGAACTGTAAAACGCCGGGGGCAGTTACTTACCAATGGCCAAATGCGCAGATAGCGCCACTTTATTAATGCTCAGCGCCCAGATGCGCAAATTGTGCACCCGCTCAACGCCCTCGATGCCTTGGAATATCTGCAGCACCTCGGCGTAGTGCATGTAGTTGGGAGTCCCCTCCATGAGCACCTGGAGGTAGAAATCCAAAGAGGGTGGAGTGTTTACAAGCAATCTGATAAATCAGTGTTAAATAATGACCTTAAATAAATCAAATGCATTTAAATTCATAATTTAGTGATGTTTTCCTAAAATTATGAATCGTATTTCATATTTACTTTACTGGTTAATGTTATTTTTAGAAATATTTATATTCAAATGTGCTAATCAATTTAACATCCCTTTTATGTTAAAAGCTAATGAATATATTACTACATAACATTTAATGCTAATTGTAATATTTTAAAAAACCTTTTTAAACTTAAAACTCACCAGCAGGGCATCCTTCATAATCGTGAACGTGGTAAAGAGGACAATAATGGAGAAAACAAATGTGCAAATCGGATCAACGATGGAATACTCTGGCCAAAAGTAGATGACCCCGGCGGCCACGAACACTCCAACGCTCTGAATGACATCGCCAATCACATGGATGAGGGCAGCTCGGACATTCATGTTGACGGCCTCCCGTCCAACTGGTCCGCCGTGATGATGTGATCCTGGTGCTGTCTCGGCCAGAACTGCTGCAATTTCTAAATCCTTTGCGGGATCCACTAACTTTGCATTTTGGTAGGAAAACGTGGGCAATCCGCCGCCAGGCAATTCGGCATCCTCGGGCGCAAAGGCCACACCGCCCTCAATCCTTTGGTTGGGCGAAGCGGAACATGGTGTGGATGTGGCATGGGCATGGGATGGGATGCCATTAGAGGCTGGGGTCTTCTTTTTCGGCTTCTTAGAGCCACCGTGGCTGTGACCATGCCCACCGCCCAGGGCATGCGAATGGCCATGCTGCAGCTGGACTCCCATTCTAACCGAATAGTGGAGAGAAATTGGAAACGTTATCACAAATATTTAATATGCTTGAAAATGTTGCAAGCTATTTTCTGCCGGTCCTGTACACAACCAACAAAAAAAAAAACAAAACAAAAAGGCCATCCCAGTCTGGGGCACGTTGGCCAGGCCACAGTATGAAAACAAAAACGCACCCAAAAATGTTTTTTTTTTTTTGTGTTTGTGTGTGTTTTCTTTGGCGGCAACGGGGGCATGCAACGGTATGCGGGCAACGCTTTTGCATTGTTTGGCATTTTATTTCAGCATTTTAATGCACCAACAACAGTCGCACCGCACAGTCAAACAAACACACTCAGGTCACGGACAGTGGAGCCAAATGGCCGAGCAAGTCCCCAAATGGAATTAAGCTGCAGGAAATCTTTAAAAAAAAGAAATTTAAAGCGGGAAGTGTCAGTTGTTGCACAAGGTCGTGGTTGAAGAAGCTTACTCCACTTTGCAATATCTGAATTGAAGCTCTTTTTAAAGTCAAAGAACTAAAACCATATGAAAAAGTTAGAAAATATTAAAAACCAATCTATCGTTTAACAATTTTGATACTTTCAGCTTTATATTCCAATTTATTATTCGCCGATTTATCAAAATCCATTTTTATGCTTCCCGAACCAATTTGTATTTTAAAAAACTGATTGCTTATAAAAATATAAATAACACTAAATTATATGTTTTTTAAACTTTTATTTTATGGCCCATTATTTTGCGAACCCTTTAACTAGACTTTATAGGTTGTGCAGTCATTTCCATAAATCAATTACACTTTTCTTTTCAAAAATAAATAATTTTAGGCACTGTACAGTGTGCACTCCGCTACGGCACCGCCACGTTCCCCAGCCCCCTTCTTCCCCTTCCCTGGTGATTGCACCATCCTGAATTCTGAATCCTGCTTTCAGAGTTCACTGTTCACTGTTTTGCTGTTCTGTGTACCGGAAGGTGTGTGCGAGTCCTGTGTACGGGGGATCCTCGGAGCCGACCAGCCAAACTAACCGCTCCTGTCCGATGATTGCGACCGACCCAGGGCAGCCCATCTGGGCTGCTCCAGTTCAGTACGTCCGGACACATTGCCGCATGCAAATACAAATGTATTGTCGAAAATGGCAACCGGTTGACCAGGCCATATCCCTGGCCCCTCATCACACCAACCCTCTACAGTTTACCATGGCATGGATCGGCAGTTAATAGCTCGGCACATTGACTTTTTATTCATTTTAAATGCTCCGACATTGCAGATTTATGGCTTTTCTATTTGGGGAAAAAGGCCATGGTCGACCGACCGACATGCCAACGGACCGGGCTCTTTCTGTCCGTCGCCGCCGGCTGCACTTAGCCGGCTTTTTGGGGAAACAATGCAGTGCCGGGCATCAATAAATAAACTCGCATAAATTACGCACAACCATTGGCAGGAGCAAACACAAAGCACAAAGTGAGCAGCCACATAGCGGAACCATCTACCGCCAACTAACCATTCTTGTAGACCAAGCCCCGAGTCCTCAGCTGATGGGAAGCTCTGCTGCGACGTCGATTTGCGACTAATTGACGTGCTCAATTGATGGCTCAAAGACATCTTTATGGTCTTTAAAATACTTTATGCTGGATGGTAAACGTAAAGTTCATTGTATTGATGGATTCCTCTACATACAAAGTTGTTAACCAATGTATATAAAATATAAAATGATAAAATGCTAAAAATGCGGAAGTTGTATTCATTGAGAACAAACTCCATGACTTGTATTGCAAGCTTTAAAGTATCCCTTAAACAATACTGAAGCTAAAAAAACAATAATGAACAGTTTTCGATTTAAAGAAACCTTTTTTGTTCGCTAAATTATGAAAACATAAAACTGAAATACAACTTAAACTCTATTAAAAGCTTAATTGGATTGATACCTATTTGGATTGAACAACCAATTAAGCTTAAAAGTATGAAAAGAAATATTTCATTTTATTTTCAATAACTCAAAATTCAACAGAATGTAAAGAAAGACCCACAGCCAATATTAAATATCGTTCAGCAGTAAGTTAAACCTCAACCGAAAACCTTGTATGATAAGTAATTTAAAGAATAGTAGTATGAACCTGTAAAATAATACTTTTCTATAATTCTGGGGCAGTTGGAAAATGGAAAAGTTTATTTGGAAGCTACTTTTTGTGAAAATTTGTAGCTAGTGTCTCAGACACAGGAATAGTCAAACAAATAGAAACACTCTCGGTGTAAAATGCGCGTTACGATGAGCGCAATAAACGTGTCCCGTTGTCGCTAACCCTGGTCTTGGCACTGTGCTCCTTGGCTCCATGGACCGACAGCTTAACGAGCTGCTCATCCGGGTGACAGACCATACCGAGACCAAGATCAGGACACCAGGACCAGAGCCACCGACATGCCCCAAGACATCCTTAGTGGCTGCAAATCCAGGCAACAGTCACATACGCGACCCAAGCTAAAGCCCGGCCAAGCCAAGGCGAGCTGAGTCAAGATATGCGCTAATATTTATGTTCCTGTCAATTAAATCAGGACATGGCATATACGCCACACAGCCGGAGCTCTTTCCCTCTTGGTCCTTGGGCACTGTGCTGGGTCGCAGGACCTGGCCCTCGACTCCCGGCTCACAGCTACCAACTACCGAATCCCGACTTTCCCGAGTCCTGGTGTTGTCATGGCTGCTGTCGTTTGTTGGCCACTAACGAGGCGAGTAAAGATGCCGCAAAATCAAGGGGAAATGCTTCATTGCGCGCTACAAATTACAGCGCCACAGTTGGAACAACAATGCCGGGTTGGCGGGGCAATCCAGGGGGAAATGGGGGAAAATGGGGGCTTTGCTGATGGTCGGGGAATGTCGCTCGCATTGGCATTTTTTGTGCTCGAGGACACACAGCGCAGGAGGGGATCGTTGGAGGAGGGTGGCGGAGTGGCCGGGGTAATGCCTCGGCAATCGGATGTTCAAAGTCAAAAAGCGTATGTGCTCCGCATGGAATCCCTGGCGCCAACATGGTCCGCCATCCCTGACCACGTGGCCACACTGGTTAGGACCGAAAATGTCGGAGGTAGGGCTCAAACGATGTGTGCTATTTTTGGACAGTAAAAGGTGTTGTTTTAGATGGAGCGAAATAGGTAGGATATGAAAAATATATATGATATTCTATAGATCTATTAGATATATTGTCAATGTCTGAAAAACAATTTATCTTAAAAGTTGTACAATTTTATGCTTTTCAATCAGTATTAAAAATATCAAATAACATAATCAACCAATCTTAAAAATGTTTATGTATAAATTTTCTATAAAAAGCTTTTAAAACTGAAAGATTTGATGGCAATGCATGCAGGAAAATAAAAATTTATAGACTGTCTATAAATATTTATAGAGTTATTTAGAGCTAATAAATACAGTGTTTTTCACAGATTAATACTATTTTTATATTGGTTTAACTTTAGAAAAACGCTGATTCGGCACCACTGACACCTGCAACTGGAGCTGGATCTGGGGCTCTGTACAATTTATTTAGTGCCCATCAACGCGATGCCCCACATGAAACGTCAGAGGAAGCGCTTTCTCCTTCTTCATCACCGTTTATATTTATTTCCTCCTTGTTTTTCTCTCCCAGCTCTCTCTGCTATTTTTTCTTTCTTTTGCTGTTTGACAAATTATGGCCACATTTGGCCTGGTAACTTCTTCGAACCGAGCTAGCTGGGCCATCACAGCGTGGTCTTAAGAAATTGAAAATGAAATTGAGTTGTCAGGCTAACAAGCTTTTGGCCAGCTTCGGTCTCAAGTGGCTGGCCAGAATGAAGGAAACGGAGGACAGAAGACCAGGCTCAATATTCACATAGTGAGCACTAAACATAAACAAGAGGCAAAAGTATATCATGCGGAAGAAGCAAATTCTTAGGAGAAATTATTGGAAATATTGAATGGAAAACAATAGTTTTAGCTACTTTTTGGCATCGAAAATTGAAGCACACTTTAAAATTATAACGAAAAATATTCAATAAATGCAATGAATGTTTGGTAGTAATATTATACCATCTGTTTATAGTTCAATTAAAATTTTCATGAATTTTTCAATAAATTTAATTGCATTTCGGGAAAGAACTAATCAAAACATTTCGTTCAATCGCTTAAATAAAATTGCAATGTAAAGCTTTGCATTGCCAATATCAAGGGGAAGTAAAACTGTAAAAATTGTTCAGTTTTCTTATAAGCCTAATTGTTATTTCTGCTTTTGATGCAATGAGTTCTCGTACACTTATTTCATTTTTAAAGTGTTAAGTCCGAAAAACAAATTCGGCTAAGTATAAAATTTATTTGATTGCTTTAAAGAAAAATTTCGTTGTGCATTCATCCATCTGTCCTAACTGCCATTCCCATTGCTAAGCGCCTTCATCTCCACACTCTGCTTGTAATTGCTTTAGCACCTCGCTTCCCCTGTATTTCCCACCAGAATAAACCTCTCATATTTCACTGGCATTTGCTCTCGCTAATGTCCCACTTGCAGTTTAAGGTCATGCGATGGGAGCCAGTACAGTAAGAGCTCTATATAGTGATCTAACTTGGTCCGTGGAATTTATTTTGAAATTTGCTTAAAAATAAGCCAATTAATATAATATTATCCCAGAAAGTATGCAATGTGTTTTTTAGCTCTTTCGTTAAGAAGGGATAAAAATCTATTCGTTAGTCAGTCTTAAAATATTTCTGTTATTTTGTGTTCAGAATAAATATTTCTCAGAAAAATCAAAATAAATTCATGTTCATCGGTTGTTATAGTACAGTTCTATGGTGATTTCACTCTCTCTTCTTCCATTTCTCGTCCTGTTTCTCCAATTTCCCCGCTTTGGCCCTAATGGGCGTTTTAACGATGTGAAGTCGACGGACGTCGTTGCCGCCACTCAAAAGTTAACCCAACAACAACTACACACAAAGCGAATCCGGGAAATTCAGTGCGTATATGTATGTGGTGTGTGTATGTGTAAAGCGTTTTCCAGCTATTTTCGGCATTGTGCTAATTGAACTAAAAACTCGCAAAAAATAAAATCCAGAGAGCGCTCAACAACTAAATGAAACTAAGTAAAAAGCCTTCAATAACAACAAGAGCAAGCCGGACTGAAAATAGTTAAAACTTGCAGCAAACTCATTTGGCCGAACGCATAACGGTAAAAGGTGGCCATTTAATTCCGATGTTCGAACACAGGTCAAAAGTACAGTGAAAAAAGCTGTTTATATTTTTGAGGAAAAAAATCCAAAAATATAATAATTTCCATATTTGAAGAATTTTTTGGGGGAAATCAGGAGTGACCAATCTTTCAATTTTCGTAATATGTAACATCATATAATTTTGAAAATATTGGCTAAAAATTTACATTTTTAAGTGAGAATGAAGTTTTACTGCAAATTGAATTTTATTAAGATTTTAATTAAAAACTCTACTAGATTTAACATTTTATATTCCGACCATTTTTGGCTTTGGTATGATAAAAATACGGTTTTTATGGGGAGGAAATCAGGAATGACTAAAATTTTGACTTTCTTTAAGGTCATCTAATTTTGTGACAACATTTTTGTATTTGTTATGCTAATGCTTAATTTTAAAATAAGAAAAGCTCATTATAACAATTTTTTTTTTGTATGTAGAAGAATCCGGAGGAAGCAGCAGCATTGACTTGACTTAACTTTCTACTTTTATGGCAGCTTTCAAAGATGGCCTTAGCCACGCCTCCCTCCGGCCTTCGCCCATCTCCACCAAGTCCGGCCATATCCTTCTGCTTCCCTTTCTTGGCCAAGTCTGTAAGTCGGGAGAGTTGCTTCTGCTGCACGTTTTTCACAATCAATTCACGTAATCAAACAATTCAAGTGGCAAACACTGAAAATGCCAACGTCAACTGGAAAATTTTTGCGCTACCTCCCAACTACCAACAACAACAACCACAACAACAGCTGCAGCCAAACACTTGTGCAGGAAAATAGGTGAGTTGAGGTGGGCGTGGCAGGGATGTTGGGTGGTAAGCTGAAAGTGGAGTGAGGCGAACATAACGTGTGTGTGAGCTCGGCATTGAACGTTGCGATTTATGCGCCAAAAACTATGCTTCGACAGCCACATGAATGAGCATCAATGGAGGCAAGGAGATGACGGAAGGGGAGAGTACCAGGACGACAAGGATGTGGAGGCAGATCCTTGCAGGTTGGGCACTCGACGAAATCAAAACAAGCGAGGCGATTAGTAAGTAATTACACGAACAGAAAATGCCCTTCTAAGAACACTTATAACCCTAATTTCGATTTTTAATGAGGATAGGGTTTAAAGTTTTAAAACATTTTTTGAAGAAAATTTTAAAGAGATTAAAGGTCTTTGTAGTATTCCAACTTAAAAAACTGTTAGAATTTTTATAAGCTTTGATTTTTCTAATTATATATACACATAAATATATAAATAATCTCGTCTAACTTTTTTTAACTTTCTAATAAAAACCAATCGAATCTTAAACTTACTTCCGTTTTACTGCTCTTTAGTGGAAAGCGTGCAAAAAAAGTCAATTGAGAAATCACAATTAAATTAAATAAAGCGTTAAACTTTGCCGGCCTCGATTTATTTTTAACTTCGCGAAGTGAAAAAAAAATCCAATGGTCAGAGAGACTCCCCACTGGCTATCGTTTCGAGCATTATCGAAACCCTCTTCGATGGCACGTTACCCCATCCCGTCTAGAGAATTTTCCACCTTTGGGGCTGGCCAACACAAACACCATCGAACTCCTCGTCGACGCCGCTTTTGGCTTTTGTTGACGCAGGAGGAAAAGTACAAAAAGAAAAAATGGTAAAAATGGTACGAGAAGAAATTCTAAACTTGTGGAAAAAGTTGTCGCTAAAATGTGGAGAAAGTTGCCGCAACAACTGGCGGATACGTAAGGGAATGCCAACCAGGAATCGGAGTTGGTCTGGGATCGGGAGGCGTTTGGAGTGTGCACCGTGTTGACCCATTTGGTGGCCCATGCCCGGGACAAGTTGATTGCGGCAATTGCAATTGGAAAACTGCCCAGGGGAAAAACAGGAAAAAACTTTGCAGTCGCACGGACGGGCAGGCAGACATCCTGATGTCCAGCAATCAAAGATCTGCATATTGGGACACAGGAAATACTTACATGACATTCACCAATATGGCCAGGCCCGAGGTGATCAGCATGATCTTCGCATTCACCTCGTAGTCGCCGCTAATGAGACGTCCAATGGCCAGCCAGACCAGTATGCCCGTGATGACCCAGATCATAAAGACGGAGGCCATGGCGCCAATAACCTCAGCCCGATACCAGCCGAAGGACATCCTGTCAAAGATAAATGAAAGGGAGTGAGTTTAATTAGTGTGAAGGCAGGTGAAGATAATGAGGCTGTGATGGCCAGGAGAATAGTTTTCACTTGCCACACGATAACGTTTGCGAAACTTTATTACTTTTCTAACTAACAAACTTTTAAACTCATAAAATTATTGCACTTTAAATGCAACCTCATATTTTTGATATTTCTATCTTTTATCTTTTTTTTTTTATATTATAAAATTTATATGAATTTTAACCTGGAACTTTGTTGGCCAAACAAACTTTACGATGTTTGTAAACTATAAACACCTTCATACTCTTAGCTTACCTAAAGCTATAAAATTTCTCTTGACCTGTTAAAAATAATTTTATCACTTAAACTTGTTTAATATTTAATTTCTTTATTATCAAAGCATAGGTCATAGTTGACAATGAAATAAATTGGCCTTAAAAAAATGATATCCTCCTTATAATAAGCCTCAAAGGCAAAGGGGATGTCAAAAGCTAAAGTTGTCGGCCACAAAAAGAAACCCAAATTGCTGATGACATGATGTGCGGGAAGTCAGGTGTAGTTAAAAATTAACATGAGTTGATAAATTTGACCAAAATTTGTCAAATGCTATTTTAATTTGAGTTCGTTTAGGGGCGCGGTTCCTCCCCTCCCAGATGATAACTTTTTGGGAGGAGGTAGCGGGGGTGTGTTCCCTAATGTAATGAGCGTTTTGCATGTGCGCCCCTCTGCTTATTTTTTGGTATATTATTTTATTTTTGGTTAGGTCAAAGTCAACACCTGAACGACGGTGGCGACCAAGTCGAGGGTCGTTCAATTAAAGCCCTACCCAGACCAGAAAACAAGCCAAGCCACATCAGAACGAGAGCCAGAAGTAGAAACAGAAACCAGGACCTGAACCAGAAACCGGCAACCGACAGGTGGTGAGGGGGAGGCGACTACCACTCTCGTTATAAAATTGAAATAATGGCAAAAGGCAACAATTTTGCCAGCCTGCTAACTAATGCGATGCCAGAAGGCAGCAGGCAGCAGGCAGCTACAGCAACGAATGTCTCGCCATAATAATACAATTTAATTTCCAGCAAACATCCGTCGTATCCTCACTTCTCACTCCTCAAACCCAAACAAAAAACACCCCCAGGCAGTGTCAATGTATGGCGGAGCTATACTATATGTGTGTATATACAAATACATATATATATATATAGGTATGTATATATGCAAGTTGGGGCCTTGCAGTTGGCGTTGCAAGTGCAGCCATTTGCTTAATGACCGCCTGCTGCTGGCGTCCCACACCCTCCTTCCGCGTCCTTCGGCCCTTTCTATTCCCAACGGAGGAGCAGCTACATCGCTACCTCAATGGCGGTTCCGGGCACACTGGGACCGGGTGCGATAATTAAAAGAAAGTAGCCAAAACACTTAATTGGGATTAGCGATAATGAAATACGGCAGAAGTGTTATGCCAAACAAGCCTTTTGGCAGCCAACAAAATGAAAGATATGAAAAGCAAAACAAAGAGAAGGCCATATTGAAGCTATTGTATCCTAGTTCCTGAATAAATTACTATATTTGTGAAATAATATTTGAATATAAAGAACAGGTTAATACTTCTGCCTTAAGATAAAAAAGAAGATATTGAAAAATCCTCGAATTGGAATGGGTAAGGCTAATAAAAATAAGTTAGAAAATACGATTGATAAAAAGTTATTTCAGTCAGGTGTTAGGCAAGGTTTATCTAGTATAAAGGTTAGGTTGTCTAGGTTTATCTAATATTAATAACACCTCCTTTTCGAAGTAGAAAGAAGTTCAAAAGAAGTTTATCCTTAAACTAACCATCCTATGCTGCCACAATTTCCATCATTCATTATCATGTGAATTACCGCAGGTAGTAATTGAATCATTCCACTGTACCGTGCTTAGTTTTCCCTCGTTTTGCATTTCGTTTTCTGCGTTTGCCTTTGCAATTGTGCAAATGTGTTTTGTTTTGATAAATTAGGCTTGTCAACTCGGCAACGCCAGCCAACGAGCGCCAAAATGGGTGGTGCGGTGGTCGCCGTAGCTAAGGCAGGAGCAGGAGCCAAAAATAAGGTAGAAGGCTGCGAACCGCACTGAAACCAAACCCAGCCAAAGGACCAGGCCCAAAGAGAGAAGTATTCAGCCAGGCTCAGACTGGGAATGCTGCAACATGCAGCAGCAGCAGTAGAAGCAACAACAACGGCAGCAACATGCAGAATGCAGCAACAAGAGCAACTGGAACAGAAACAGAAACAGAAGCAACATCAACGCACAGGAGACGAAGAAGGAGACTAAAGAGCCTCAGAGTCTGGTGGCAGGAGCGAAATTTACAAAATTACCATGCAACACGCTTGAAATTGCAAAAGTTTTTCATTATTCACTTTGTGGCTGCAGTCGAGTCGTCGAGTGAGTGAGATTTTTGCATGAATGAGCAGAACGTGCCGTTTGCCTCCCTCCTTCTAGTAGAGCCCAAGATGGATGCCATGGTAGCAAGAGGCTAGATGGGCGTTAGCAAAGAATGGGGTCTAGGCAAGAGGAGGGTGCTTCCAAAGACCAATTGAAAAATGTGCAACGGCCGAATCTACATTGCGCAGCAGCAACAGCAGCCAATAGTGCTGCCAAAAAACTAACAAAAATGAGATATTATATAATCAAGGATTGGAATTAAAAATTCAATTCTTTTAAAAGATCATGGTTATATCTTCAAAAATATACTTTTTAATTAGAGACAAACAAGATGTATTTTAGTTTTGTCATTTTACCATTTATAAAGTTCTTTAGGACATTTCAACCATTGAGTTAAAAATGGATAAGTCGACAGCACTGAGAACTACAGCAACAAAAGCAGCCACAGACGCTAGAGGAAGGCACTGAAAATTTGGAAACAGGCTTTTCGCCTAATTAGACGATGGCGAATGGGAAATGCAGGCAGCAGCGGAGGATATGGAGTATGGCCAAGTCGAGCGACAGAAATTATGGTGGAAGAGCAGACATATAAGAGTGGAATATAAATTGCAGGGCAATGCAGATACACTTTTTTCCTTTAAGATGAGCTTGCTAAAGGAATTAAAAATTTAAGATTTTTATAGCCTATAATCAAGATTTATTCAATGCAATTTAAACTAATTAAATCTGAACTAATATGAACAAAAGTTTCGCTAATATCCCAAAGAACTATTGAAATTCTTTCAGAGGTTGATAGCTCAAAGTTGATTAGATATTCTGGGAATGTAAGTGTCTTTTCCATTCAGCAACTACAATATTAAATTGTTGCATACCCCACTCTAAGTTAGGATACAGAACAGTTTTACATTATTTCCCTGAGCAGAGGGTCTCCAATCACCCAGCTGGGTGATAAAGGAGAAAGCATTCCAACGATTGCAAAGGAGTTGGCAGCAGCCAGTGACAAAAAGAAATACGGAAAAGATTGAAACTTTACGTTTTATTGATTTCCCTACCCGGCGAACGACTTTTGGCAGTGTCTTCATTTTCGCTGGCAGTACTTACCGCTGCGTAGATGGTCGTCCGGCAATCCAGATGGCAAACAACGAGATCATAAAACTGGCGAAATCGGTGAGCAAATGTGCGGCGTCTGTTGCGATGGCCAGACTGTTCGATAGGACGCCACCTGTTCCAGGTCGGGTGAAAGTAAATAAATGCGCAAAAAATTAACTCGGCAATCTGTGGGACTTGTGGATGTTGATTGGGTGAAGGGGGTTTTTACCGGGGAGACTGGGTGACAATCCCTCCCGGCTTTGGTCGGAAAACATTAAAAGGGTGGAGTTGGGGGTCGTCGTCTCTTTCTCTCTATTTCCCATTATCGCAACAACAATTTCGATTTGCAAGCAAAAGAAAAGTGCAAAGCAAAGGGGCGCAAAAATGAAATCCTTTCCTGCTAACTGGGAATTGGTAGCCTCCCCATGGTCCTTCGTCCTTGGTCTTTGGTCCTTTTCGTCCTTTTCCGACCGAACATTGTAGGTAATTGCAAAGCGATTAACGGCAACAGCCGGCGAAGCACCGACGACATCGTTGCCACTCGAAAATTAAATGTTTATTGTATAACCAACCCCAGTGCCGTCATAAATGGAGGAGGGTTGACGGCAGACAGTAAGCCCTTCCGGTCGCCATATTGTTGCACTTCCGGTTCTCAGTTTTTAATCGTCTCGTCGTCGTCCTCGTTGTCGCTGCCGTTGTCGTCTCCTTCGTGTCCTTTTTCTTATTCCTTGCTACCCACATTGTTTGACTTTCTTTTTTTTTTTGTATTTCGCTTTTCACTCTTTACGTTTTGTTTATTTGTTGGCTCAGATTCTCAGAGGTGAGCGAAATTAGTTTGGGAATTGAGAGGCAGACAGAAAGAAAAATTGCAAAAAGGAATTGAAGGAAAAAGACGTCCTTTGTAGGGATGAACTGAGAGCAAAGGGCGAGCGGATGTTGCCCCCTATGAATATTAACTCGACTTACTCACCCACGATTTCTGCAATCATAAAGACCAAACACAAAACGCTGGCTATGATCAGTTTCCGGCGCGCCTTTACATCCACCCCCTCGCTGCGGGCACGATGACAATGATCCCGTACTGAAAGTTATAAAAAGAAATTAAATATTAGTATTAATATTTCTTTTCCTATATAATTTAACTTAAATGCTTAATGAGGTCAAAAAGTGGTCTCTTTGCACCTAACGCTCTTAAAATTCCATCTCAAAACAGAAAAAAACTATAATTTTATTGTCTCACTTTTCGAGCCATTAGTCAACAATAATGTGTCAGTAATCAATTGTATTCTTAATAATAATATATATTTGATGTATTAATTGGATCTACAAAGTAAATACTTGTAAAATGTAACAATAACTATTGTCGAAAGACAAGTGGTTTTGCTTGTCAAATTTAAAGATTTAATTCTTATTTTCCCAAAGTTCAATTGTTCGTTATTGTTAACTTTGTACATTAAATAAATTTCATGTTTTTCTTAAGCCCGCTTAAGAATATAAGCTCTCTTTTTGCAAATGTGTTAAATTAACAATGTGCCACCGAACGCATTGGACTCCCTTTGGGGCATAAGTTTTCCCTTCGCCCATCTGTTATGTCTCTGAGCATGCAATACATATTTACAAAACAGGCATTTAAATTTATTTAACATGGTACGTGAATAATGACCACCAGCGCAGCTCCAGCACCGGCTCCTGCTCCTGATCGTGGTGCTTGCCTGCCACGCCCCTCCCATATGGACACGGTATATGGCCCATTTCCGGGGAGTTTCTCCGCTTGTTTTTTATGTTATATATTTTTTTTCTTTCCTTCCTTTTTTGGTTTTATTCATTTTGGGTGTCAGTGACAGGCGAAAGTTGGTAGTTGGTAGTTGCTTGGCTTGCTTTGGCTTGGCTTGGTTCGCCGGTTGGCTGGTTGGTTGGTTGCTCTTGGTCGGCTAGGAGCAGTCTATTAAATACTTTATTGCATTTGTCGCAGCCGTATTTCATGCTTTGTCATTTCCGCTGCATTTTCTTTGCACTTGCTCTTGCTCGCCACCCACTCCTCAGTTTTTCCTAGCAGTACAGCTTTCCATTGTCCGGAGCGGGAAAAGCTACAGGAGCACATACATACATGTGCATATGCTCCGCTTGCTTGGCTATTCTGCCATTGCAGACCATAGAGATGAGAACGTGCGGAAAATTTAAGACTATATTCAATGGTATGATATTTAATGATTATTTTGTAAGCTAAAATATCGGATTCCTGAAGATGCTAAGTATTAGTAGAAATATAAAAATTGAATACCTTTTTAAAAGATCTTTCAATAAGATGATCTTCATACGTATTATAACATAAATAAACGATAACAATTTATCCAGTCTTATATTAATTAATTATTTTCCGTGCGTGTCAACCAACATGTGGAGCCTCTCATCTCTGACATGGTGTGGTTGTGAACGCGGTTTCTTCATTTGAATCCAGCACAAGGCCACCGACGCCTGGCCTGCGTCTGTTGGCAACCGCTTCCTGCTCCTGCTGCTGCAACTGCTCCTGTTCCTTCCACCTATGCATCCTTCGCAACCTCCACATGCTGCCCTCCCCCCTCCGCACACACAATGGCAGTAACAATGCCGGCAGCGAAATTAAATTCCTGTGCATAACCAAGGCCCGGCACTCTGGAGGAGCAACTGCAACTGCGACTGCGACTGGGACTGAGACTGGGATTGTGGCACGTGGAAATTTCACCTATTAGACCCGCATCCAGTTTCCCTCCTGGTAGAGCAGCCACTGCCACCAGCTGATGCATAAGAATCGTCATACTTGCAATTTAAACAACTCCGATCCATCTGCATCTTTAATTGGTCGCCTTGGACCAACGTTTCGTTTGCCTTGTTTGTTTGCGCAATGCGGAAAGTATGTTGGAATCTCGTCGAGCTGAGGTTAATGTCGGAGTACACATTCACTGATGTGCTCTTTCTCCTCCTTCACATCCATATCTGGATCTTGTTCTGCCATGGCAACAATTGTACTGTGTATTTGTATTTATAAATAATTAATGACGTCAGGGCGAAGAAGAAATCGGTTGGGGAATGGGAAGACGAATGGGTACGGGTAGGGGAGTGGGACAACCTCTATGCCAAGTGCAGGCGAACAAGCATTAATTGGATAGAAATAAATACGCGACAAAAGGTATTCCATTATGTGCAAATATCAATGACAATATCTCGACAGGTGCCAAGAATGTTTGTCAACTGAGATCTAAAGATGATCCAACGAGCGGTTGACTATGGAAACATGTTTTATATACCTCGTAATTATTTCATTATTAAACAGTAAGTAATCCCTAATGAGGTAAGACTTTAAATAAAATTCTGCTAAGAGCAGTACTACTTTGAAAATAAATACAGTACTCTGCCTTAATAAAATGTTTTTACAAATTTGTTTAAATACAAAATCCAACTTTAGATATTTAATTACAATTTTAGTAAGTTTATAAATTTTCGCCTAAGGTATATAGTATATATACTTCGCCATATCATCTTTCGCCCTAATTAGCAAGTTACCTCTGCTTATTTCCGCCTCCCTAAGCTTGAGCACATCCATAACCCGGAATCAGGAATCCGGAGCACGCGTCGATAACAATAAGGAGGTTCACCCAAGGGAACAATGAACACGGACCTATTCGAACTGCTTAGTATTCCAGCATTTGCAAATGGTCCCATCTGGAGCGCGTTTAACGAACGACTAACTACGGGCCAGCGCAAATCAAAGCAGCTGCAACGACCTGCACTTGGCTAGTCAAGCTATCTAATGGGAGTTAGTAACTCAAACTATGATTGAATGCACTGGGCGCCCCAAGACGATTGCATAATATATATCTATCTATATATCTATTGGTGTGTGTACCAATATACGGGGGCAGAAGCTCTCAGAAGCGGATCCACCTCGTCTAGACGCCAGTTAATTTCATTTCGGGCGAGCTCGTCTGCCAATAAATCGAATCATCACCAAAAAAGGAGAAATAAATAGGGATTCTTTATACGACATTTGCGACTAACTGATGCTCATTAACAGGGTTGAACTTTATATTTTTTTAGCTGAACAATAACTCTCACCAAAGTTGTTTGATATTTAAAAAAGGTTAATCAACTAACACTTTATTATATCTGCTTGTTACTTGTTCTCGTAAAGAACTATTGAAAATCTAGAGCTAAGCTTAAAAAGAATTTAAAACTTTAAATGTAAATTTAAAAATACAGAACAATTTCTTGGTGGTTCTATTAAGATAAAGCCGACATACCCCTTGAACTTCATCTATCGTTAAGCGGTATTTGCCAAGGGTACAAAATGGAGCACCTAGCAGACTCCGCAGAGGAAATTAAAATATAAACTTGACATAGCCACATCGATTTCTCGGTTTCTGACCCAACGTAGCCATACTTTTCGGAGGAACCCGAAAAAAAAGAAATGATCCAAACATTTATTTGGTCCATCGACGTTGTCGTACGTAAATTATGGCGAGCGTTACACTGGCTCCTCTGGCGATTTATGACATATGGCCATAGTGGGAGATGCGGTCTGCTCCCAGCAGCGGTGTGTCAGCAAAGAGCATAAATTTTGATTATACCACAGATGCTGATGGTGGGTGGTGGTGGATTGGGTGGTCGACTGGACGGACCAGTTCCACCATAATTTCGTTTGCCAACCTCGAGAACCATCAGCTGATTGATGACAGAGGGGCACACCAAACGAGTGGCAGAGTGGGTAGGAATAAAGCTTCGAGTAGGTGGTAAGTTGTTTGCTCACCATATTCGTGCAGCATTTCCAAGCGGCATTTATCCAGCGTAGTCGTTTCTGCCGCTGCCGACGCCGCCTTCCTATATAGCCGGGCATCATTCATTTCCGACGATTTCCGTGCCGTCTGCCAATTAGCGAGCATTTACCCGATATTACAGCTCCTCAGTCACCCATACATCTGAATGCACGAGTAAATTGCACAGAATTTTCGATTTTCCCCGAAAAAAACGCGAAGGAATCAAACAAACAACGAATAATACTTAAGAACAATCAAAGATCTACAAAATTCCAAGCCTTACATATATATATATGGCAAAAAAAAACACGAAAATAACAATGTGAAAACTAATTTGGTTGATTTTTCGTAGTTGTCGATTTTGATTTGTTTGCATTTGACTTTTAGTGCAAAATGCCGCTGCCTGCTGCGTTTTCTTGATAATTTATGAATGACTGCAAATTGCTGCGAGGTAGTCCGCCCTGATTGAAAGCGACACGAAAGTGCCCCGCAGTTTGTCACAGTCACCTTGCCACCCCCCTTAACCCCTTGTTGTTGCCACTCACCTTCGACGTTGTTGGACCGCCCGTGTAAACAAAAAATTTGCCCAGGTGTTGAGGGCGTTGCCGGGTGATTGTTGTTGCCATTGCCAATGCCTCCGTTCGCACCAGGTTGTCCCTGCTCCAGCAGGTGAAACGAGGGAGCCGTGCCATAGTTGCTTCGACGCGTGCGATCCGAGTTGCGTCTGCAGAAAAATAAGGGGGTTTACTCAATGCAATATTCATGATCTCCCCAAAAACTTTCTGCAGGCTCCAAAAAAATTTTAAATTTTAAAATATAAAAATTTAAAAGCATTAAAAAGTTCTAGTTAATTTGTTTTTTATAGTATTTTTAGATCATTATTTATCTTCGGTTTAAAAATCGTGTTTTTAAACCTTTTGGTTGAGTTTTTTAATCGAATATTTTTAAATAAAATTAAAAAAAAAATTAAATTGTGATTTTTAATTTTTCAAAAGAGATTTCTTAAAATATACTTAAACTTTTTCAATGCTGTATGGAATTAAATTCGAGAGTAAGTTCTAAACTATTTCAGCTATTTCACAACTAATTCTTTAATTAAAATGTGCCATTCGTTAGACTTTTTTTCCCAAGTTTCTATAGAAATGTACTTGTTTTTCACGGTAAACAAGTGAAAGAAGCCCGAAAAGAATAAGAAGTAAATGCAGCCACAGCAGGAAAAGTTTTTTGGGAAAGCTTCAACTCGAAAAACCCCAACAGAGAATTAAAACGTAGCGTTGCCGGTGCCAACAAAACACTGCGGCATTTAAGCAGACACAATGTACCGTCGGCTCTTGGACCCCCAAAAACCCCCTTGAGCCACCTAAAGTCCCCTCCCGAAAACCGTCCATCAGCAGGCAGTTCCCACTGTAATGAGCTGATGCTTCGGAAAGCGAAGCGAAATGCTCCGAAAAAGGGTTTTTTTGATAGGTGCTAAAATGAAAAGTGCTGCGAAAAATTCAATTTGAAGTTTTGTTACTTAACGCAAACTACGATGACTACTTAAAGGCCACGCCCACTCCGCCGCCGCCTTCATCAGCAGCACGTGTGTGTGCGTGTGATGTGCCCGTTGATAAGTTTTTCATGTTGCATGTGTGTGTGAGGGTGTGTGGGTGTGCCAGAGCAAGTGCGCGTAATTTTTACTACGAAAAGTGCAAATGGCGCTAAACTACTTGCTCTGCAACTTTCCAACGCAATTGCACGAAGGGGAAAAAAAATCAAGAAGGGGGTATGGCACACAAAAAAAAAGGAGCAAAATACGTTAGCCGTCGCACTTTAAGCTTTCTATCCAACTTTTCGAGGCCTCTGCGCACCTAGAAAATCCCCGAAAGACCCCCGAAGAACGTCAGTTGTCAACGCTCCCACGCGGTCCGCTCTTACGCCTATTTAACAAATCAGCAGCTCATTTGGCGCTTTATGTTAATTTCGCCGAAAAGAGATTTTATTTTCGGCCAACTTTTTGGGCTAAGAAACTTTGCCCAAAGAAGTCAGACGATAAACCGTTCCTCTCTACCAAAAAAACTTACTTGGCAATCGGTGTATCCTCGTTTTTAGACATTATTTTCTTAATTTTTATGGATTTAACAAATAAAGACACAAACAGCACGTTACAAGACAAGATCTGACCGACAAGTGTTTCTTTAAGATCCCATATGCTCCACTGCTCCATAGAGGCTGTGAATGATAAGAGATGAGCAAATAACAGATAAGCCCGATAAACTTACAACTTTTAGATCGGAGAGAGCCGAGTGCAATGCATGTGTTTGTTTTTCGAGCGGGAGATGATGTGGATCAATCTGGAAGGTAAGCAAAGCAGAAACCAAATACACTCAAAAAAATATCTCAAATCTTTATCTTTCTAAAGATAAAGTAAAATTAAACAATTAAATACATCTTTAAAGTAATATACAATTTTATGCGAAAAACGTATATATTAAAATATACCATTAAAAAAAATAAATGGATACTTTCAAATATCATATCAATACTAACATATTTCAATTTGTTTGAGATTATATCAGATTTTTTGTTGTGTGCAAAAGCAATGAAAAAGAGAGGGAAGATGCCCATTCTTATCAGCGGGGTCTGTCAACTGGTGAATAAAGCACACGGACCGTTCAATGATGGTAACGTGCGGTAAGAAAACCAACGGGACATGTTTGACATGTTTAAGAGGGTTTACGAGGCTCTCCAGATAAGAATATGAATGGAAAAGTAACTCGCTGAATGTTAAAACTTGGCGCTTTTCACAGGGCTGCCAGATGAATGGAAACATTTTAATCTTGGTATGTTTTTGGTATTTAAAGGCAAACTAATGGGAATAAAAGAAAATGGTAAACAGGTGAAACATTTAAAAGAAATCATTTAGTGAAAATAAATCCTTATAATATGCATCTTTATGAATTCCCATAGAAAAGTATTATTTCTCAAGTGCACAGTCATAATTTTTTGTCGCCTTAATCAAATGGCATCCCTAAAAATAACAGTAACTGTGATAGTCCATCCCTAAAAGATAAGTCCGTTACGTCTGGCACATCTCTAGCACGGAAGGTGATGTTTTAAAAAATCAATATGAAGGCCACAACGTGCGGGAGTTCGTGAAAGTTTACCAAGCGTTATTAGTCAATGATGTCGGGGCGTTGTGCACTCGAATTGATAGCCAATAATACGCCAGGACTGCCACCGCGGCAGTGACATGATGGCCAACTGAACGGAAGGAGCGCGCGAGACCAGAAAAAAGCGAGCCAAAAGCACTAAGCAGTCATCAAGTGATGGCCTCCTCGACATCCTCTGCGCGTGTGAACAACAAACCAGCAGCCAACACCACCGCACCCGTTTCCACCTCCTCGTCAGCTCCCGTTTCCGGTTGCGCCTCCACGGTTGCTCCTGCTTCCGCGCCACCAGCTGTCACCCTTAGCGACCTGATTGGCCAGCAGCTTAAACACCTAAATGCCGATGAGCTGCTACACAAAGATGAGCTGCAGCTACTCCTGCTCCTAACGCCTGTGCAGCGACAGAAATTGAGCAGAGATTTGGAGGATGCCGAACTGGGGGCCAGCACTTCAGCAGCGCCGCTTTCACGTCCCGAAAACGGAGAGGAGGATGACGATCTGGCTGGGGCTGTAGGTGGGCTGGGTGTTTCGTCCCCAACCATGACCAAGGAGCCGCTACTGGATTTTAGGTGAACAAAACGGTGGTTATAATTGTGGCTGTTAACCCCTAAAGGCGCAATTCCAAACAACCTACTTTAGATATTTGACAATGCTTTTGATGTTAACGTATTTAGAGTCATTATCTAATATCCTGAAAGAATTCGAAGTTGCCAGATTACTGAAATAAGATTATAGAAAATGTTTTAGATAAAGTTTTGAAAATCGTAAGGTGTATGAAATCCTTAAAAAAACCTCATTAATATTACAAAATTTGCTATCGTTATTTTTGCTAAATGTTAGTCTTTTTGATTTTCAAAATTCTTTCTTAAATGTATGTTACACATAACCCTCAAACATGATTGGCGGACATATTCCTACCAAATTCAAAATGCGTGGTCGCTTTGTCGGCCGTTGGCCTAATATGGGTTAAGTGCCAGGGGCGGCCAAGCTATTATGCAAATCCATAATTACCCCATGAAATTAATTTAATTTGTGGGAGTTGATTTTGCGCCCCTGTACACTGGGCTAGATTTCAGATTTTAAAAAGTAAAGGTAAAAGTAAAACTGCTATTTATCTTTGAGATACTCCATAACCATCTAGCAATTAAACTTAATTTTAAAAAATTGCCTCAGTTTTTTATAGCGAAAATTAAAGAATATTTGGAAATAATATTTTGTAAGACTTTTTTACAAAGACGTAAACACGGCCCAATGTGCCTCGGATTGCATGCATTCGTACGTTTAGGTTAAGAAGCATTGTTTGCTGTCGAACTCGAAATTTGGGTCACTTCGTTTTGACATTTGCCGTGAATAATTAACCAACCACCCTTTTCCAAATCGCACAGACCACACGTACTCAAATGGTTTCAACATCTACGGCACCAAACGGGCCACTTCAAATCGGAGGAGGAGTCACGTCGCCTGCGAGAGGCTGGCAACGATTCGTACCGAAAGGAGCGGCATCCGCTCAAAGCCAGCGATCTCTTCACGGAGGCCATATTTCTTGCTCCGGCCAGGAACACGCTGGCAGCTGCCCTGGCCCATGCCAACCGCTCCCTGGTGCTCTTTGATTGCGGCCTTTATGCGGTAAGCTTTCCATCTTTCAAAACCTTCTAACTATCTAAAACTTATCATTTCATATACTAACTACATCATCTTTAGGAATCCTACGACGACTGCCTGTGCGCCCTGGATCTGGGCTATCCGGAGGAGTATTTGCCATTGATTAAGCTGCGTCAAGCCGCCTGTGCCTTAAAACTGCGTAACTTTGCGCTCTGCGAGGAGCATCTCCACGAGCTCTTGCACATTGAACTGAACCAGGTGTTCGAAGCGAGGACCCATGAGCTCTGGCACCAGTGCGAGGTGCTCAAGGTGGAGCGCTTCGAGATGGCCGTACAAACGGGCGATGATTTGGATACCAACGATTCGAAAGCTTTTGAAATGTGAGTGGAGAATATGTTATTTACTATGATGAATACTTAACTTAATATATATCTTATAGAGCCTGGTTGGACAACTCGTCGTCGCTGCACACTACTCGGGCAGTGGCCAAAAACGCGCTCATCTTTGAATCCGAGGCAGTGGCCATGGTTCCCAGTGGCAATTGCCGGGTGTGCGACTATTGCGGGATCACCCAGTTTATTCCCTTTCCCTGCATTTACTGTTCCAACCGACTGGTGGTCTATTGTTCCCGTCAGTGCCGCTTCAAGCACGCTGCGATCCATGCGGTGGAGTGCTTCGGCCACCAGATCGAGTTGTTCGAGTCCTTTGGCGAGGTCTTCGGGGTACCGCGACTCCTACAGCTGGCCCTCCGGATGCTGATCACAGGTCTGCCAGAGATGCTAGGCCATTGCCGAAAGAAGCCAACTTTGAGCAAGCTGTGGTCGGCTATCAATGGAGGACTCCAGGAGCGACAGGACATCGCCTACAGTGCCGTGCTGAGGCTGGAGCGATTGAGGGAGGAACGACCCTCGGACACGGTTATCGCGTTAGCCCTATCAGCTCACATTATGTCCATTTACCTGAGCAAGTGTACTACTTTCTTCGAGCAGCTGGAGAAGAGCCTGCCAACGGCGTCTAGAATGTCGAATGCCGAATGGGAACTATTGTGTGCCGCCCTGCTAATGCGACACATAGGCCAATTGCGCCATAGATCGCTCACCGCTTGCCGTTCTTTTGTCCTGCCCGCTGATCCGCACGTCTTCTCGCCACTCAACGAATTCCAATTGTGGGCCGCACCCATGCGTCTCCAAGAGGGCCACCTTCATCTGCTGACTGGCGAGGTGGCAGTAGTCTCGTACTCTGTCTACCCGGAAACCCTCAGTTTGTGTCGTCACAGTTGTTCCTCCACGATCTGCGCGAAGTTCTCCGGGCGTAAGATGACGGCGTTGGCACTTTTAGACCTGCCGGCGGGCTCCGGCATCTATAACTGCTTCGCCGGAGGCAACTTTCAGCAACTACCGCGGGAGGAGCGTAGCAAACAGCTCCAGGAGCGTGGCATCAGGTGCCACTGCAACTCCTGCCAGATATCACACTCGGAAGATCAGTTCGTAAGTTCACCATGCCAAAACTTACTTATTTTAGAATTTAAGGAATATAAAATATAACAATGTTTATGAGTAATTTATTTTGTTTTTTTTTCAGCACAAGTTTCATCGCTACCGTTGTGATAATCCAAAGTGCGCAGAAATCTTCACACCCAAAGCCCTGCCGCATGCCCCAAATCTGCGCTGGTGGCTATCCGAAGAGTACACCCAGCCGGAGTTCAATGGCGCCGAGCTAATCGTGTGTCCCCATTGTGAGGAGTCTCAGAAACTGGAATGGTTCTGGGCATTCACCACGTCGCTGATCGACTGTGAGTTAATCGAGGAACGCTGCAAGCTGTACGCGGCTATTGAACGCGCTGAGAACCAACTGATGGATATGCATGAGTGCAAAGTGGCTCTGGCCAGGCTTCTCCTAGAGCAGTGCCTCATGGTACATCGTGGTAAGTTCTCAAGAATAAAGAGCTAATTTTTATATTTATTTTTGGTCATTGCCAGCTCACGTTTCCCTCTTGGTTGCGCACCTTCACAACTATTCAACCCACCTATTCATTTTGTTCATGCTGACATTTGAAACTATACTTGTGCTTTAGCCTCTTCAGATCATCTACTTCTATGCCCTTGTAAACTATCACTTTTGATCTCTCTTTCTCTGTCTGTTCCTCCTACCTTTAACTACGCCAACCAAAAAAGAGGGGGCCACAGTTCTGGACGACTGGGAGTTCAACAAACTGGGGTCCATCCTGCGTGCTGTACTGCCCAGCGTGATGGCACAGTACGGAGGACAGTCGATTGAATATGTTAAGTACTTTTCCTACTTCTGGGATGTAATGGCGCTGAGCAACTACAAGTGCAACGATAGAGAGCTAATGCAAATGTTAAACGCTTTGGAGTTCATTGCCGATGAGTTCAAGGATATATTCATCAACTACTACGAAGATTATATTGCGCCCAAATTTGCTGAAGAGTCCTATGGCAGTGTCGTAGATACGCAAGTTTAGTAAAGAAATCGAAACAATGAAACGAGAAAAGTTAAATAAACTTAGATATATTTTACTCTGTAGCGAAATGAAAAGAAAAGACCCACAAAAAAGTCTAGGAAAATTCTGTTGTTGACCCATACAAAACGAAAACCGTAAAAATGCATATATACTTTGTGCTATTATTAAAAAAAATGGTGCTGAGATATTAAATTGTACGAAACGAATGTTACATTCATTTAGGTAATTAAGTCAAAGCAAATAGCGTGCGAGAGAAATCAAAACGATCATATTAGTAGAGAGTCATATCATGCACACATTATGTTCATATCACACCTAGGAAATTTTTAATTAACTGATTGATTATATAGCAAATGACTTTTTCATTTTGCATTGCGAGCAATATTTATGAATTAACAAAGCTACAAGTGCAACCCACTGGCACTGGTCCACTATATTATAATCCTTATTTAAAATCTCTTAAATTTAGTGAATAATTTGAAACATAAATACTCGATAATCTATACAGTGGGCCGTGCCAGAATGGGAAACTTAATCGGTAGATAGGCCGAAGCTAATCTAAGTCTAAGCATTAATTTAGCTTCTGAGAAGCTTCTACCTACTTAAGTGTAGTCACTGATCTCGATTGTTTGCCAGAAACACGACAAATTGTTTTATCCACACCAAAAACACCAAACCCTTACTCAATCACTTACATATGTATTTGCTTGCCATCGGGCAGCCTGACTGTAAGCTTTTAATGCTTAAAAATCAGATAGGAATCAAACGCAATCACTGCAGAAACAAAATAACAACAACAAATGAACAATTTAAATTAATTAATATTCGAATTATATGAACGAACAAGTGTTTTTCAAACCTCGCCTTAATTTTTTAAAGTGTTTTGAAATACGGTAAAGATAAAAGATAACGAGGACATTCAACCATAACAAATCGAAAACGAAGACAACACGCACTGATAAAGCATAGGCCAGGCAAAATTCACACCGACACGCCCACACACACGGACACTCAATCAGACACGCAAATCTATATAAATAAATAAATACAAATTACAAACAAGATACTCAAACAACTTCTAGCAGCTATAAACAAATGCAATAAATTCTTTTTAACAACAAAAGAAAAACTGTGTTTTCAATATCCATAGATTAGATCCTTTTGGCCGAAAGTCAAATTCGATTCAAGTTGGTAAATGGACCAAACCTATAAACCTATATGATTAAATCCATTTTTTAGAATACTCGTTTTGGAAAAAGGACAAAATATAAAATCAAACAAAAATAGGAAACACACATTTTTGGAGTATAACTTGGCCTGGAAATACCTTAGGTGTTTCTGATGCCTTTTTAAGAAAAGGCCATTATCAAAAGCTTCTAACGAATATTTTCTAAAGTATAAATAAATTTATTTAAAAGAATAATAGTTTTCTTCTTACTTAATGATTAACCTTTAGAACAGCTCCATCATGCTTTTATTTACTTCTTGGAAAAGAAGTTCATGATGCCGACTTGCTTTGTTTTCGGCGCATCTTTACCACCTTTGCCGGCTGTTGGCGGTGATTTCTTTTTGCTAGCATGAGGGGCTGCAGCCTTTGGAGAAGCCTTTTTCTTAGCGGGTTGCGCTTTTGCTGGTTTTCTCTGCGTTATGACGAATCCTTCTTCATCCAGATAAGTTTCATTAGCTGGCTCTGTCTCCATTTCTTCGTCGACTGTGACTACTTCTTCTTCTGCGGACTTCTTTGGAGGTTGCTCTTCGTCTTCTGAGTCACTGATCCGTCGCCGCTTTGAGTTCGTTGGCTTCTCATCATCGGATTCGTTGTCCGATCCAATCACCTTGCGGCGCAGCTTGTCCAGTTTCTCCTCTTCGTCAGAGGACTCGGCACTTTCTTCGAAAAGTTGAACGGAGGTATTGGCCGTAAAAGCCTTTTTAGATGGACTGGGGGACTTTTTCTTTGATGTCTCTTTTTTGATCGGAATCGAGGAATCTTTCTTGGACACAGCTGGTTTTACTTCATTTTCGGGCGACGACTTCTGGGCACCTGGAGACAGCTTCTTTAAGAAGTTATTCATGGTGCTGGCAGCCGGTTTGCTGGTCGTGGCCTTGCCATCCTTCGGTTTGTTAGCCGCTGCTGTAAATAAGCTATTGATACTGCCTTTTTTTGCCGCTGCAGGCTTGGTTTTTGAGGACTGCTCTTTGGGTGAAGTTTTCTTGGTTTCCGGAGATGATTTTCCTGTGGGTTTCTCAGCCTCCGACGACGATTTCGTTGACTCTACCTTAATATACGACTTGGATGACTCCGTTTTTGAGCCCTCCGACTTGATGGTCGCTGTTTTAATTCCATTGGTGGATGGCGCTCCATTAGCAATGGGAGCAGTATTTACCGTTCCAGGACGCTGCTCCACTTTTGCCAACTTTACCTCCAAATGCTGCATTGGTTTGAAAATCGGGGCTGGCAATTTTGTGCCACCTGCGATCTTTACACTATAAAGCTGCGACTCCGCATCATGGACTTTGGACAGCCAATCCTGCAGCTTGCTCTCCAGCACCACGGAATACACTTCCTCGGATCCTTCAGTTTTACGCTTACCATGAACCAGAAATCTCTTCTCGAACTTTGTGGTAGCTTCCTGACTTTTAATGTAGGCTTCCAGCACATTGTTTACTTCCTTATATGGGAGTTTGTATTCCTCTAGAAGATCGGTGACCAGCACACAGCGATCGAAATCGATCATGCAATCGTCGAGTGCCTTTTTAAGAGTCATTTCACAAATTGTTTCGCAAAAAATAGCGCGAAAACAATTTATATAGTGCGGGGCTGCCAACTCGAGGGGTTACAAAATACACTAAACTTCGCAATGAGTATCAAAGACTCAAACCACTTTTAGCGTGTGTCTGATAAGCCAGCAATTGGGCGCGCATACACATATTTTAAAAAATCTGAGATCTAGTTTTTGATATAATTTAATATATGCTTAGGCATTCAAAATTGATTTTTTACTTCTGGCTAAGAAACTATTTATAGATCTAAGTAAACTCTACGTATAAACATTTATCTGTTAGTATATAAAATGCAAATTTGGCTAAAAAATGGCTATGTTGGCAGTACTCATATTTATCGATAACACTTATATGCCGGTTTTTCAAGAAGAAGAAATAAGAAGTAAACAAAAGGATTGTAGTTCTCCTTCAGGATTATTTTCACTTATTGCAAACAAACTTTAACTTAACTAAACTTTACAATGCGAACAAAACAAAACAGCACCTCAGAGTCCCAGAGGATTAAGGAGTAAGTAATGCTTCTACAAAATAATAGACTAAACCCTAACATTTTACTCACAGGGAGGTTGCAAATCAGGAGCGAATCACACAGATTGAGGAGTTTATTAACGAAGTCCTCAAGGAAGATCTCCGGCAGCTGGAAAAGTGCATAGGTCAGTTCAACGAAGAGATCATGGAATACGTGCAGCTAAAGAACACGCTTCAGACATTCGAAACACATATGCCGGAGGGCTATAAGACACAAGTGAACATCGGCAGCAATATATTCATTCAGGCACGTGTCCGAAAGATGGATAGCCTCCTTGTCAACGTGGGCAAGGATGTGTACCTGGAAATGTCCATTCCAGAGGCAGAACGCTTCAGTGACACACGTGTCAAAATCCTGACCAAGCAATCCGACGTCCTCCGCGAAGAGAGCATCAAGAAGAGGACCCAAATCAAAATGGCTCTGATAGCAATTAGTGAAAGATCTAAACTAATAGGAGGAACTGAATCTACGGATTGAAGTTATATTACTATTAAAAAAGTGATGTTTTCTTTTAGAACCTTTTCTAGTTACCTATATACACTGAATAAATAGATGCCTAAAAGCTTAAAAGCTTTCTAAAACAAAAATGAAAAACTATACTATAAAATTGTAAAATAATGATAAAATGTCTTCTAGATCATTTGACATTTCTTACCAATCATTTCATGTATGCAGGCTTCCAACCATTCCTATTCCGTAATACATTATGGCACAACTACACAAGCACTAGGTTTTATTTTCTACCATAATTTACAAAGATAATTTACAAATTACGCGCCTCGAAAATGTTGGCCAAGGGATTTTGGTGTGAACAAAGTTGAAATGGACGGAGGGCATATGACAGTCCTGGGATGCATCGGAATTCCTGGTTACTCAAATGGCAGATTGTTCAAGGGTCGTGTGGACCGCATTGTGGATTGGGCCGCAGGGTGACCAATTCCATCTGGTCTTCGAGAAGTCATTGGTATGCAGTACCGGTCGTTGAGAGTCCTGTTCTGGTTCGAAATGCGCTGGGATGTGCTGGCCAAGTTTTGCACTCGCCTGTCCATCTGCGAAAGTCAGGATGAGTTAACTATAAACAGAAAAAACTATTCCCATGCCAGCTGCCCGTTTTAATCCAATGGGAATCCAATTATGAACAAATTTTGAAAAGACATATCGGATAGGAACAAAGAAAATTTTTAGAAATTGTGGGGCCAAGGTAGTAATATTCTAAATTATATTTTAATTTTTATAAATTTTCCAACTCACATCGTTTTCGGCCTCGGGATTCATCCGTCCGTTACTGGTCTGAGGTGGACATCCCATAGATGAGGTTGACGCATAGTTGACCGCCTGCCTAACACGGAGCATCTCCGTCTCCAAGAGCGAATGGTCCCGGTAGAGATTGCGATAATCCTCGGCAAGTGATCGGTTCTCATCCAGAAGCATGTGGATGTGTTCCTCATTTTGCTTGGCGCATTGGCTCATTGCATCGTCGGCTCTGACCTGGGCATCCTTCCATTTTCGAAAGGAGGCGATGATCTGCTCCTGCTGTTGCTTGACCTCGGTCTGCTGCCTATCGAGAAGCGAGAAAATGGCAGCTGCTCTTATATGGATGCACTCCATCCCTTACAGACTACTTACTTCAGACTCTCCTGCAGCTGCTCACACTTGTCGGAAAGGACACGGAAGTTCTCCTTCATGGACTCTGCCGCCTTCTCCATCCTCTGTTTACAGTCGTGATGTTGTGAGTCTTCCAGTTGTATTTGGGCCTGCAAATCGCGAACATGCTGACGCACCTTTTCCACTTCTAGTTGTCCGTTCTTCTGTTGTTCTTGGAGTGCACGTACCCGACCTGCTGAAACGGCTTCCTTCTCCTTCAGGGCGATCACCTCCTCCCGCAGCATTTTTCGCTGGAAAATTAACCAAATTAATTAGGTATTCAATCAAAACTATTAAAACACCAAAGAGTAAACTCACTTCCGTTCTCAGCTCATCCTGCAGCTGTTCCACTTGCTCTAGTCGCGTCTGCAGGGTCTGCACTTTTTTCTTGGCTATTTGCAGCTCCTGGCACTGATCCTCAAAGCTGGACATGAGATTCTCGTACTTGGTGCACAACTGCACTCGCTGGTCCTCTTGGCTTCTCAGCAGGCCCGAGAGTTCTCGCGTGTGCCGGGATAGATCACCTGGAAAAAATGATTTTCGTTTTAAAATGAATTCATATATTAAAGAAAACTTTTTATGTTTATATTATTAAAATTTAGTATGGTAATCTTTTGAACTCACAATTCTTTTGTTTAAGTTCGTATATTTCCCCTTTTAGCTGATTGTTTTCGCTGAAATCGGAATAGCTCTTGATCATGGACTGCAGCTGATCAATCTGTTTATCTCGATCCTTGAGATTGTCCTGCAGTCCTTGAATTTGGCAGGTAAGATGTTCATTCTGGTGATGAAAAGATAGGAAAAAATCAGGAAAATAATTAATCACAATTTAGAGAAGCCAACTTGTATCTCCAGCTTGCAGTTGATCCTTGGAGGATCCACATAGTGGAGCTCTGGTTCTGGGCAGGATTGGCTGGTGTTTGTAGCCTGCTGCAATTGCTGTTGTTGTTCCACCTGTTCGGTCAGCTCCTCGAGATCCCGCTTGAACTCATCGATAATGCTAAGGTAATTATCCCGGGTGGCCTGAAGGATTTCCGATTGGGTCTGACAGTGGAGCAGCGTGTGCTCCAACTGCTGTCGATGGGGGCAATCGGAGGAACTGGCCTCTGCGTTCTACAAATTCAAAATGAAAGTGGAACAGCTATTCTCGAATCACGTTGATGGTAGGCTTACCATGGCAAGTCAAAAATCTGTAACTAATTGCCTACAAATCCGCGCACGGAATCACCTGTCAGTTGTCAATTGTCGATTGCATATATATCTATATATCTCGGTATTTAAATCGCTTTCGGTGTCGAATGCTTGGTAACTGAGCCTTCGTGTCGGCCCTAGAAATATATCTCGCATAACCCAGACGAATTTCGACTTCATTACCGTTTCATTTCATTTCAATAATATTGCTATTAAAAGTTTGTCACGAAAATAAAACCAATTCGAGCCGTAGGTGGCAAGGTTTCGGGTTTCAAAGCTTCGTTTCTTTGGCACTTTGGCAACACAAGTTTTGCTCGTAGGGGACTTCCCCCAGTTTTATAGATATTATTATTTGCGCGGCCCGACTGTTTGACACGATTTGAAAATAAAGTTGCAGCGGGTGGCAGCAAATAATATCGTCCAACTCCTGGATGGGTTATAGTTATTTATTGAGACGGGGTTTCGTGGAGAAAGCGTGGCTCGGCGCACTTAAAACACTTTTAAAGGCATATTATATTGGGGCGGGGCGGGGATTAGAATTTGATAGCCCGGGGAAATGTGAATGTGAAAATCGATTAAGACGGGGGCAATGAATTGTTATGATTCCTTGTCTGTCATTAAACCCATTAAGGTGGCCCCTCACATTTCAGTTTTCAACACCTTTTTCACCGACTCAATTTGCACATTTACAGTTTTGCACACTTTTCGCTTTTCCCCCCTTAAACTCAAACACTCGAAAACAATTTACACTTTTGGCCAACTTTTGCATCGCGTTTTGAGCGGAAAAGTTCTTGTCTAATTGCACGCTTTTCCTTTCGTTTTTCACACCGAAAAAACGAATGAAAATTGGTTGACTCAGTAGCGAGGGCGACTAATTAGGGGTCGTAAATTGTCTGTTTTATGGACGCGGGTGGAACGTGGATATACCGCGATATTCCCGGTGCCGATTCCTGGCGCTTCCTTGATTTGTTTCACGCGACTAAACAGCTCTACCGCCGACGGATGACAGGATTCTGAAGCGAACTACTCGGGTTCCCAGCGCCGACGACCCCTTGACTTGGGGGCTTCCTGGCGAGTTGTGTTTGATTTTGTGCCCAGCAGTTTACCAAGGAGATGATCGCGTGAGATGACTTCATATTTACACAGGTTAACATCAATTTATATATTACAATATTATCACTTAAGTTTAATATGAAAACAGAAAAATTTAATGTTTTTTCTTTGTTTAAATTTTGTATTTAAATCTTTGATTAAGGTTATGAGTTTAAGGATTAAATATTGTCTTAGTATAGAGAAATCGGTCCCTAGCCACTTTCTCACGAGGATCACGAGCAGCTCTAGTCACTCGAATCCCTGCCCAATCCGCGCGGCTCTCATCGATATGCATATCACTGCTCGCCTGCCTCGCGTGTCGATTGTGGGTAAATAAATAACACGAAACCTATTTCCGATTCGCCAGTTCCTGGGGTAAAGGTAAATCTGGATGGAGGGCAGGTGGAGCTCCCTCTCCGGGCAATTGCAGTTCAACATACAGCCGAGTTTCCACAATAAACACATTCGCGAGCGATTTGTATTTGTCGAATGTAGACAAAAACCCGAAAGGGAAGTGAAATGGATCTCGTACTTGTGGGTTCGGGCAAAAATATATGGGTAAATAAATCAGACGACTCGAATGGCAACCATATTTGTTGTCATTCCAGCCAGGATATGTACATAAGAAGTATGTATGGTTTTCAACTCGAAGGCGAATGTCATTTACCTCATAAGAAAATTCTATGTACCGAGAGGAAAATGTATGTATGTATGTATATTTGAAGCCAGTGGCGTGGTCATAAGTTTGAGCAATTTACTATATATTACTTAGAACTAGGTAAGTATAACTATACGAAAATTAACTATTAGGAAATTTGAGATTAATTATTTGAAAATTGTATTTTTCTCATTTTTGCTATCCCTTTTCCACAGAGCTCCTGGCATAGATTTCAGGTGATTTGTGTGCATAAACAAACATTATTTTCCTTCATTTCGTTTTTGGCGGGAACTATTCCGATGATAAATAACTTTACAACTTTGACGAACTTTAAGCTATACTTAACTAGTTAACTTGGCTTAGACTAAATGTTTAGGAGGGTCAACAAGTGACATAGTTACTTGGAGGTCCTGGATTTTGTCGTTGTTATAGTTTTAGTTGTCGTTGGCTTAGTTGAAGGTTTAGTTGTTGACTTGGTTTTTGTTGTAGCTGCGGGAATTTTGGTGGGTTTGTTCGGCTCCCTTGTTTGGGAAGGTGTTTTCGTATCGCTTTTCTGTATTTGATATGGAGTTATTGGAATCGCCTAATTGCAAGGGTAATCGAAACCGTCACATACTTACACATGACACTTGTTTTTGTTCTTTCTTGGATATCTGCTGACACAATTTCGTGATGGCTGTACAGAAGGGGTTTTCCGTTGAAGATTCGTCATAGATTTCATTATAAGAGAAGTCCATGCAGCCCTGAAATTAAAAGTCAGATTAAATTTCTATAATATAAAATGTATAGCTCAAAACATAGTTAGCTCACCATTTTGGAAATCAGTTCGGCAATCTCTTTAAGAATATCGATATTCCTCTGGTTAAAGCTGCTTTCAGATTCAATCCTAGCCTGCAGTTCTGAAATTTTTACTTTTTCCATTGTTATAGAGGAACATTAACCCACCGAAGGTCAGGAATACGAACTTTTTGACTCGGTATCCAGGCGCTGGTACTTCCCGTGCAACTCCCGGTTACTTTGCCCAAGGGATCGCATACGATTTCGTAGAATTTCTATCACCTGGGCGTCAGGATCACCGGGGCCCGTTCCCGGATTAATCGAGCTTATGCAGGAATGGTCTATGTCCGACTGAAGGATACTCAGATGAAAACGAATGTTCTCCAATTTTTTTATGGTATCATCTCGTTCGGATGTCTGGAAATTGTTGTATATATTAGAATTAAATTGATTTTAACATAGACATCGGCATATTCCTCACCAGCTTTTTGAAGAAGCAGGACAGACGTTTACGTCGACACTCCATGGCCTGGAAATCCTGTTTGTTACGCAAATCAAAGAGTTCATTGAGTTCAGAGTTTAACAATCGCAGCATCTCGCTCTCCTGGTTGTCCTGCATTGACAGATTCTCCAGCATCTCGCAAGTGATCGTATCGGCGGTCACCGTATCGCTGGGAGAATCCACCACATCCCGTACCAAATCAGTGGCGTTTACAGAGGGTCCATTGGATGACCCGTGTGTGTCTGACATTGTGACCATGCACTCGGTGATCTCTTGCAGCTGGTATATAAATATATATATTTGTAAAAAAATGTATAAGTAAGAAAATTCGAAACGTCGAAAACTATTGAGTCGAGTGCACTAAAATTTCCCTACGAATTTGACATTAAATTGAAATGGTACTGATCTCGATTCAGATCGGGCGACACAACAGACGATGAGGCGATAAGAAAAATATTCCAATTAATCTATTTATAAACTGATCTTAATAGTGATCACTACTACTTTACTAGCACTAGTTGAAACAGATGTAATTTTCTAATTTAGTTTTTATGATAAGAATCTGTTTGATTCCGGTATCCATTACCTGTTGATTGAGCTGAGCTATGCACTGATCCTTGAGAAGCAACTTCTGTCTGGCCGTAATAACAATTTCATCCAAGTCGCTGATCTGCGACTTCAAGAGACTGATCTCGTCGTGCTTTTCGGCAATCTCGTTAACCAAGGACTTCATGCACTCGCCCATCTGCAATATATTGAAACTCGAATCAAAACGAATCTTTTAAGAAATGACAACAAAAATATAATAATTTATTAAAACTAAATAAAAAAGAAATAACTATTTTAATGGGGACACTGCTTTGAAGTATTTTCAAATCTAAGAGACTTCCTTTTGGAATCGCCGCCGCCCCTTTCCTTAGAGCTTCTTTGGCCTACCTTCTCACTCTCACTTTCCGGCCGGATCTGATCCTTTCCGAGACCCAACAATTCGTTCACGGTCATAGTCTCTAGGGTAATGTCGTTAGTGTCCCATTCGTGATGGTAGTAGGCAGTTCGCACGAATTTCATGATCGCACTGATGTCCTTTTGCAGCTTATGGTTCTCCTCTAATGTCTGTTGCTGCTCTCCTTGAACCGACTGAAGGCACGTCACAATCTTGCCGTAGGCCTCACTCTCCAAATCAGACATGTTGCCCAGTACCACGTTGTTTACGTGAAGTAGGAAGTCAACCCACTCCTGGAAAGTAACCAGTCGGAGCTGGGAGGTGTACTAAAAAGCAATAAGAAATTAGGACTTGGTTTGTAAATTAAAAATTTAAACAAACAAATTTGAAAAACTATTTTTAATAGTAAATGGAAGAAATTTAAAGAAATATCTAATATATAAAAAGTTTAAAGGAGAATTTATAAACTATTCTCGATTTACCCCCAATGGTTTACCTATCAGCTCACCATTGCATCGCCTCCCTGCCCATCCAGGCAGTCAATCTCGGCCAGCCGGTTAAGAAATATGTTATTCAGCTCAAAGTTAACCTTGCCAACGTCGCCGGTGGCATCACGTAGCTTTTGGAGCAGAGAACGGTAATAATCGGTGGACACGGATTCCGTACTTGCATTGCATTGGGCATGGGAAGAGCCTTCTACGGTTGACCTTTCCCTCGACTGGATATCCAATTTGGAGGTACTATCCTGGTCCATTTGTTTACTTTGCAACGAGTCCTGGTTTTTCGGCGTTGCCGAAGGCGAGGGTGATGGCGGTCTCGAGGGATTCAAGCCCATGGACTTGGCGTCCAGGACGAAGCCCGTTCGTCGCGAACCCATAGTATCAATCCAATATTTAACTACTTCCTCCTTCCGTTCCAACTGATAGCATTAAATTTTCCAATTTCTTACGATGCCGATTTAGATCTGATTTAGTCTGGCTGGGATTAGCTTGTGTAATTAGACATGTGTACGAAGCTTTCACATCGGAACGTTCACTTTGCGAGCGGCAATCTCAAGGCACTGCTGATCGGAAAGATTGTAAAGTGAGGGCCTCGAATGCAGTTCTCCTCCCCTTGAAGTGCACGCAAATCACTAGGCACAAAAATCACACACAAAAAAAAATCAAGAAAATAACACAACAGTTGTAAAGTTGTAAAGTTATCAAAAAACAACACAAAAATTGACTGAAAAATATAATATCTGATTCAAACCCTGGCGGCGACGTCAGCACTGCGTTCATATCTTTTGTTTGTAGTCTTCTGACGTAGCAATGTAGTTTTGTTTATTTATATTTTTTTCATGTTTTTGAGCTACACACACGCGTATTAAGTATACGATTTCAGCTTGTTTTTATTTCTTTCCCCGATCCGATCCGAATTCCGCGACTTCGTCGAACGTTTTGCCTGGCAGAAACTGAAACCGAAACTGAAAACTGAATCTCGATCGCCAACTAAAGCTAACTGAGCGGTTCTTACTGCTCGGCTCTCAAGACCCAGAGAACCGCGCTCTCCATCTAGGTGAACTCGAACTCGACTCTCTGCTTATCAGTGCGTCGGATCGGATCGAATTGGATCGCTCAGTGTTTACCCAAGAACTTAGCGGTGCTGAGTTTCATTTCCCTGAACTCCAGTCTCCCGATATAACTTACTATATGTACATATATCCGCAAGTCATTTTGTTTGCTTAAGTTGCGGTTTCGGGTCCGCCAATTTCGTATAATTGTTAACTCATTCAGTGGTATTTGCAAATGGATAAGTTTGTTTGTCCGTATTGATAACTCCGATATGGGTCGGGTTCTGCTGCCCGATAAGCTGAGCGTTCGAATGGGTTACACAATTCCCGGGAAACGTGTTAGGAACCTGCTGGAGTATAGGTAAGATGTCTTAGCGGTATCAGGAAGTATAAACAAAATTACATAATATTTGTTTAAAAATTCGATTTAATAGAAAATAAAAGCATTACAGGTTTAATTGAACACTCCCAAAATTATATAAGTCATATTGTATTCAGAGTTTATGAACCGATATAAAACAATATTTTTGTGGATACAAAATGTTACCAAATTAGTTTTATTTTACAGGCGAATAAAAGCATTCCATTGGAAATATTTTAAAATCCATTTTAAAAGATAGACAACATATGTGTTAAATTTTAACGCTCATTATACGTTTTATTTATATTGATTTTTCATACGTAAGAACAAAATGTATTTACAATGTTTAGATGGTGTTTGCATGCGTTCTCATCCTTTTGTTCGGCAATAAACTGTGTTACGCTTTATATTCAAAATGAATTCTTTGTGTCCTACTTAATTCAAATCCATTACAGAACTGTTGCTTATATAATTGGAATTGATTCCACATCATATCAACTAATAGATAAAACAACTTTCATACAGATTATCATAATCACTTCACGTTAAACACTTGCTTTGGGCGTACTCAAAAATAAAGATAGGAATAATCAATTGCATTCTTTAAGTTGTGTTCACATGAATTTTAAAACGTGGCTTGAATGTTTTTGCAGAAGGATTAGGTTTGGGGTCAGACGTATAAATTGTACATCAAACGCTCACTAAAATTATTAATTCATTTATAAATTTATTACTTTAGCTATATTTATAGTTATTAATATTCTTTTTGCTTAAATTTCTGTTGTTGCTTCTTTACCTTTTACTCAGCTGCTTACAATTAGGCTTGCATTATGAATTATTTCTCTTAATTTGCTTTGCGTACAATTCTCGTGGGTGGATGTGTGTGGTGTGGTTGTGGCTCTTAATGGGGTGTTGCTTATGTGTGTGGCTTGGCTTACTGCTATACACTTGTTATGCGCAAAGAAATGACCATAAACAGTAATTAGAGAATATCAAGAAATATATTAGAGGGATAATAATTATGGTAGTGCCTTATCCAACAGTATTTTAAACTTTTCAATTTTGAATGTCAGGCTTACAAAATGGGTTGCGAAACGAAATTTCACATTTCGGGGCTCACTAATTGATATATTTATGCATTCGGGTTATTGGCTGGCGGTCATTTGTTATTTTGGTCAAAAAATATCAATGCTGCTTGTGTGCTCAGGTGCAATGCTATCTGAGCTGCAGTTTTCTATGATTTCTGTATCCTAGCCCTGGCGGTTTGAAGATAAGTGTGATCTGGATCTTGCTTAAGATGCTCTTGTTTCTCTGCGAGTGCCGTTTAGGCCAAGTAGTTATAGACTTTACGATCTTCAGGGGATCGTTGCAGATACTCGCGCTCTATAAGGCCCTCAATGCGCTTCTTGATAAACACAGGCGAGGGCAAGAAGCGCGACTTCAGCTGCGACGTCACGTCCGACACCAGCAAGTTGTGCTAAAGATAAATAAAATAAAAACGAATCATATAATAAAGACAATCTTATCTGAGAAAAAAACTCCGATGGATTTAGTAAGCCACATTGGGTTTGGAAACGCAGCTAATACACTAATACTTACAGCCATGCGCTTGCGCGCCTTCATGATGCGCACAATAGCTGCCTCTATCTCGTGCTTTCGATCCTCGTCTACCTTGCCGCGCGTCTCCTTTCGCTCTGGCTCTGATTCACCCTTGGCAGCTACCGTTTGAATCTTCACCCTATATTTATTTGGATTTTAGGTATTATGAGCAGTTTAGTCATAGTTAAGAAAAAATACCTGTGGAACTTGGAGACAAAAGCGTCGTTCACGTAAAACTCATCCGTTGGCTCAATGTCCTTGGTTTTCGTCTTGGAATTGCGCACTAGCAAACGTTGTGCTGGTTTGCCCATAGACAGCGATTGCAGAGCTCGGACCAGTTCCCGTTCCGGTATATCCGTCTCCTGATGGATGTCATCATAGGTAAGCACGTCGCGGTTGTTAAATAGCAGTAGCACGCACATCTATTTTCGATTTTAAATACGATAAATTGTAGGCTTAACGGAAAACCAAACAAAAGCTAGTAAAAACTTACCTGATATGTGGACACTTGCAGAATGTGCTTGCGAGTGGTGGTGGGCACTGAACACCCGTTTGAACTGGAGCTGGGTGCATCCTTATCCTTTTCACTTTCGGCTGCTTTGCGGCCATAAAACACAGCGTTAATATAAGCGGTACCTATACAAAAACATTGTGTTAAATAGCAAAGTTAAAAAGAGTACATTTTCCACCTACCCATTTGTGGCTGTAGCGTTAGCTGACGTCCTGAGTGCTTGTTTAGATAGAAATTCTTGAAAATGTCAAAGGCTTCGCGAGGTGCGGCGGGTATATTGCAGTTGGGAGTTGCTGTCTGTTAGGGATATTCAATATAATATCGTTTTTTCTAATCCTTATCCTTTCTAATCCTAATCCTTTAAAACTTACCTGTGTGGGCCAGAAGCCGGTGGTTAGTATGCGTACCGTTAACTCCACACCGCCCAAGGATAAATTGTTATTATTTACAAAGTTTTTAAACTCATCCATGATCGTATTGGAGACTGACATGTCCTTAAACATGCCCTCTAGCTTCGAGGTGAATTGACAGCCGCATTCAGTCTAAAAGGGAGATATGAACAATTAATATAAATTGTAAGTCACAAAAGTATTTTCGTAACCACCTTTAGTTTGGATATCATGTTCTTCTCGAAATCATCTGAGACTGATTTGTTTAGCAGCAATCTCTTGGCTAAATGCGTCTTGTAATAGCGCTCAAAGACATCTTTCTCCAATAGGAAACGGAAGAGCACCATTGTCTTGTCCAATATGGACTCGATTTCCTGTTCGCTCATCTGTAAAAATGTAAAGAAAGCCTTAATAGGTGTCATCAAGCATGTGGTAATGGAACACTCACTCCCTTGCCGCCCTTTTTCAGTTTGTCATCGATGAATAGCGATAGATATTCCGGTGACTTGTTGTTCAGGTTTAAGAAATGCTCAAAATCGGACGAGATGACGTTCTTGAATATGCGATCGTTGGCGAACGAGTGCACCAGAAACTGGTCGAAACGATCCTTGAGATCCAGCAAGTTCTGCACGAAGGTGATGGGATTCGTATTGCCGTTTTCCTCTTCCTTGACCAGCATGCGTCCCTGCTCTCGCAGATAGGCTGACATGGTATCCGCTATTACCTTGAGGCCCTCCTCCTTCAGGCGCGAGAAGAGCTTATATGTGCAGGCCAGATCTTCGGTCTTCGAATTCTTGATCATATACACTACGCCTGAGTTTTCCATTTCGACAATGGGTCGCATGTGCTTTTTGATCAGTTCTTCCTCGACAACTCGAACGATGCGTGGCTCAGTATCCTTATCCAGATAGAGCGCTGCCCGTGAGGATTCCTCCGTGATGCGCGCCTCCACTTTCTTGATGTAAACGCCAGCGTTGTTTTCGGCAAGAAAGTTTTGCGACTCGAATTTGTAAAACGCTGCGGACTGGGCAAGGAAGGGTTTCTCAAAGTCCTCTTCGTAGACAGTGCGCGAATTGATACCCAATGTGATCAGCATACTGCACGCATTCTTTATCGCCAGATGATTGATGGCTTCGCCATGTCGCTCCTCCATAACCATGCCTAGCAATTTTTCCCGCAGGGCTTTTTGAATCTCCGAATAGCGAACCACCTGAATGAAGGGGCAAAATAAAACGGTTTAGGCGAGAACAATCTAAAATTGGAATTTCTTACCTGATCCCTAAACAAAATCAATCCCAGATTATAAACGTTGTCCACCTCACGCTGCTGTACATAGACCCTGTCCATGTACATGAGTATGTCGCGAATCATCACCATGGATGTCTGGTGGTCTGTCCAGGCCTGGTTTAGTTTGGGCAGAAAGTTGCTGTGAAGAGCCTCAAGGACGTCCGCCCGCACCTTGTGCTCTAAGTGCTCTGAAACAACCTCCCTCAGGCCGTAGTACAATCTATTGCCGTGCTTGTGCAGAACCATGTTGTAAGCATTTCGATAAAGCTGCTCAAACGACAGCCCGGAGTTGTTCTTTTTCTGTATCTCCTGGATTGCATTCTTTAAGCTGGCCCAAATGGTCTCCACGTACTTTTCGTCCATAGAAGCCTGTAAAAAGAAAAGTAATTTGTTAGTTGATATTGTGCAATAGTCTTGGTTTGTTATTAGGGACTAGAACACAAATAAATATCGAAAAGAATTTTGGATTGAAAATAATAATAAGGATTTGTTGTGTGTGATTAATCTTTTGAGATTCCTATATCGCACTTATTCATTTAATAATACTAAAACTTTCTCTAATTCGTGGTCTCTAAAGTATGAATGGTCCCAAATTCAATGATAATTAAAGAATATTCAATGCATTATAATAGGCTCAACTATTCAGTACAATGAGTACTCGACTTGAGGTCTAAATCCCTGTTTGGTGTATATCAAAAGATAGGCTAACATTGAAGGCCCTTCGCTTGTACTCGGGTAGCCAAAGTGGATAAATCCGTCCGATTTCTTTAATGCGCTTTCGTATAGTTTCCGCAGTCAATGGAGCGGCGGTTGGGGGAGCGGCAGGAGTAGCTGTAGGTGTTGTTTTAACAGCAGCGGAAGGAGCAGGGACTGATGCTTGCACGGAACTGGGCGTTGGCGTTGGCGGGTGTACTGTATTAGTTCTGCTCTCCGTTCTCACTCGACCACCTCCATTGGCAAGATAGTACGATCGCCGCTGGACAGTTACTTCTCGTGTAGACGATCGATGCTGGGATTGGTGATGCTGCTGCGCCGAGGAGACGGTGGACATATTGATGTTTAGATTCCGTGTCTGTTGCTGCTGTCCCAGAACCGAGTGCCGGGCAATCCGGCAAGTCGCACCAGCGTCCATATTGCCAACGGTCGCGCCATTAAAGTTATTGGAGCCGGCCACCATACGATTTTGGTAGCGGCCATTGGCGTTTAGGTTGTTGAGTGGCTCCGGCTGCTGCTGGCGGGGATCGCGCCCGTGCATGAGAGGGCTACGCTGATCCAGCTCCCTTCTTGGCCTGTCCCGGTGGTGGCTCCTCTGATCCTCACTGAGCGTCAGAGAGCGGCGGGCTGAATGATTGCCCGCTGCTGAGGCCGGTGCCTTGCGGGACCGACTTTGGTTTGACGACCTAATGGTGACGGCTTTTATCCCACATCCGCCGTGCGGCACTCCTGGTCCGCTGCTCCTCCTCCTCCTCTGTGCTCCTTACTCCGGCCAGAGTTCTACTCGCGTTTCGGGTCTCGCCCTTCACCCTGCTCTACACATACAGGTGTTCACAGACTTTTTGTGTTTACTGTTGGGGAACAATAATTTCTCGAAAACTACGATTGAATTCGTTGTAACTTAAAAACTAAAATGTGTTTTGAAAATTCCCCTGTCCCCGGTTGGTGTTTTGATGTTTTCATGTGTTCTATTTTTTTTCGTTTGCTTTTCTTGTCGCCTGACATTTTGTCGTGCGAAATATTTGAATTTAGCTTTTGGGGAAAAAACTCGATGGTCTGTATTGATTTCATAAAATATTTAAAATACATTCAAGGGATAAACGGGTTTTGCTACCCTTGAAAGTGTGAAGTTCGGAGCAGTCATCGCAACTTTCTTATCGGAAAATTTTGCGATTTCACGCTGAGATCGACAGATTTTCCAGGTAAACCGTCAAAATAATAGAATTGTAATGCAAGCGAAATTAAATGAAATGAGATAAGGAATATAATGCAAAAATATTATAGATTAAAAAATAGATGACTTTAAAGTAAAATATCAATGTTTTGTGTACTTCAATAAATTAAAATTAAATGAAATTTCTATCAATTGTTTTTTTTTTAAAGGTCTTACCGGAAAAGCGCGTATACGCATTTTGCCCTCCTTCTTGGGAGGATTTCCCCGTAGATTCATGCTTTGCAAGCGTCGGCACTGCTCCTCCACTTTATTGGCGGTCCAGACTCCGGAGCAGGGAGCTGCAGGAAAAGCAATTGCTTTTCCGACTTTTGTTGACGGAATCTGCTTTCTTCGTAGGTAAACAATGCTTAACAATTATTAAACTCTTCTGTTTATCCTAGAATATAAAAAAGATAATAAGATTAGTTTTATTAATATTTTCTTCCTTTGTTTATAAGAGAATCAAGGGAGGGTGGTCCAGAATAAGTTTGCCTCTATTTATTTTGTTTATGCAAACATTCTTCTCAAATGTTAGGGTGTCAAGCGCGATACACACAAACATACTAACGTAGGTGTGTGTGTATGTCTATTTGGGGAAGCGGCGGATTTTATTCGCGAATATTTCGCAATTGCAAATATCCCGGGATCCGGGGGGCGGCTATCCCGATCGCCGTACTGCACCGTCACTTCCTTTGTCGCAGCATATATCACCCCAGATATCGGATATATGTATATATATATGTGCTCGATGGCCCAGCCGATCTCTCCGCGTAAAAGAAACGGTGAAAAAAAACTCACACGGCGACAATATAATTGTTATGTACATATACGTGCAATTAATACAAGAACCGTTGTTTTACACGCACTGTTATCCATCGGCAGATAAATATATATCCAAAATAGGTTTGCCCAAATGCCAGATATGCTAGGCAATATATTTATTTTCAATTTGTTGCTTTCTTTATTTTCTTTACGTTTCTTCTGTTTCACTTTGTCATGGAAAAGACGGGTTACATGTATGCGTGTGTTTGTGTGCCTGTCCGTCTCACTGTCTGCACTTGTGTTGGTATGTTTTTGTACCTGGCCTTTCCAAGCGGCTTTTCAACGCGTTTTTCCAGGGTTTTCACTTTTCCAAAATATATTTCACTGGAGTACATGCAATAATATTGCAACATATATTATTTTCCTCGCTTTGTTGCTGTTTTTTTTACATTTACTTGCATTGCATATTGATTGTAATTCGTAATAGGGATGGGCGATAGTCGTTGCTTCTTGTTGGTCTTCGCAGCGAATAGCGATAACTATCGATTGGTTCGTGTCGGCTGGTAATTTTAATACCTGTCTTGTATGTTTAAAATATTTAAATTTTCACCAAAATCCCTAAAACAAAAATAAAAACACAATATCAATCAACTATAATATATTAGGTTTGCTTTTGAACTGCTCAAGTTTAACCAAATATTATTTATTTTCCTGAAACAATTGATAAAAATTATCAATAAAGAAAATAATTTAAATACTTATACATAAAAACATTAAATATATTTTTGTAATATTTTAATATTTTTTAAATTCAGCTTTTGTAATTTCAATTTTAATTTAACTTAATGTCTTCTTGGGTCATCCCTAGTTAGCAGTGATGCAAAATTTGCTCAGCCCTTGTGAATGACAGTATTTTACCGGTGTCCCTAAAAGTATGCAACATTTTAATTTACTAAATTTTCTAAAAATCTATTAAAATCTTTAAATTTTTTTACATCCTTAATAAAATAATAAGTCAACATATTGTTATGTTATCATTCTTTTTAAATAACGGTATTTTATTTTTGACAAGCTACGGACGTTAAAAAATATGTTTCATATATATCTTAATATTTTAAAAATGTAACTTCAAAATTCCCCTTTTAGCGGCTTGCAAGTGAAAGCTCAGCTTAAGGACTAATTACCCTGCAGCAAGGCCTCGCCATCCGGATAATATTTTAATTATGACAACTTGCAACCTGGCTGAATAACAGATGTAAACGGATATCCAGCGTTGGCTACCGCACGCGGCTTTCTTAATTGGCCCACTACCTTGGCTGATAAGCAAATTGGTAAAAATGTTCAACAGAATTGCGAGTTTAATTTGGGCACAAAACCTTAAAGCCCGTGCGTGTAAATTATGCGCACTTTCACCGCTCCAGAGGATCGGATCCCTTTTCGGCTTCATTTGTCGTGCGTCGAAATTAATTAGCTGCACTTCAGGTTCCCTTCTGCGTAGGTGTTGTTCGTCCGTTGTCGTCAATTTAGCCATATTTATTACCATTTATGCATGAATGTCTGTTTCGCTGATGCACCGCGAATTAATTACACTATGGGCCACATCAACATGGATGTTGCACGCTGCGGGTGCAACAATATCGCAAACTTGCTGAAAAATGAATGGTTAGGTTTGTCGGTCGTTGGAGTTGGGGAAAATAGTCGCGACCGTATAACCAATATAAGCCACAATATAATCGTGCCGCATCGCAACCACTCATATTCACACCAGGCACTCGCTCCAACAAGGACAATAAATCATCCAAAAGGCAGCCGAGTGCAGACAAATTCACTGAAATTTAAATAAAAATCAAAACAAATGCTAGACAAAACACGAGTCCGGGAGTCGGGGTCCGTAAAAGGCGAAAAGAGCCTGAAAGGCAGCCGCATCAATATGGAGCATACACAGAAAAAATCTTTTTTAATTAAAAATATTTATACTTATATATATCAAATAAGTAACGTTTATATTAAAAATGGTCTGATAACGTTCTATTTTTCTTCATATTTCTTTAATTTATTTTTTATATTGACATTATTATACAATTTATATTAATTTTTTACAGTGCAGCCATCATTTCCAACAACAGCAACAACAACTCAACGTCGGCATTATGAATAACTTTTAAATTTGAATGTGAAATAAACGCTTTGTCTAAGCGGGCTACCGTTAGCAACATGCTGCTCTTGCAACTGTTGCTGCTGCAGTCGCTGTTGCCAGTGATTTATGCAGCAACATTTGATGAAATATAATACAAAAGGCGCACAGCAGCCGCAGCAACAACAAAGATAAATTGCCGCACGCTAAATTGTAAACTATATAAGGTTTAAATGCAAAGTGTGTTGTCCGTTGCCTGTTGCACGTTGCATGTTGCTAGTTGGTAGCTGCCGGTTGGCCGCTGCATGTTTACATAACGCCAAGCAACAAATGTTGCTCAGCTTTTATAGCTTCATTTGGCAACAGTTTTAAGATTTAAATAAATTTTAAGCACTTTTAATACTTTTACTACATATAAATGCAATTTTTTACTTGTTAATCTTCAATTATCTTTATTTTTCACAGTTTACTGATTTTTGATTGCTATTGCACGGTTTTGGTTTCTACGGACCCGGTCAAGGCGATGCACTCGATCTCCACCAGGGCGTCCATGGGCAACTTGGCCACCTGGAAACAACTGCGAGCCGGGAAATCCTTATTGAACACTGGAACAGCAGATAAGCAAACATAAAGCATATAGTTTTTTTGAGGAATAACAACAAAAATATTATGAGAATAGCTGTCATAAAATGTTTACTGTAAACAATAAACAGGGTGATAAGGCGCTAACGATGCCGATTGCCTTATCAGGCGACTTTGATCAAAAGGCCGGTATACAGTAGGTATTGCCATATGAACTATATTTATATATAGTTTTATGCATTTCTTTTTTTTAGATATTTTACTCACCCTTCTTGTAGACCTCATTAACGGCTCCGAAATCGTTGAGATCCTTCAGAAACACGGTGTTCTTGATTACTTTGTCCACTCCGGAATCGGCTGCCTTGAGCACAGCCTCAAGATTTTCCAGGGCCTTTTCCGTCTGCTCCTTGGGTCCACCAGGGACTAACTGCATGGTGTCCTTGTCGAGACCCAGGCAGCCAGAAACGTACACAGTGCGATCGGCAACCACAGCCTGACTATGTTATTAACAACATTTAAATTTGACTACTTTTTTTAGGTCTCTTAACTTTTAACTTACTTGTAGGGAGCCACGGGCTTGGCAGCATTTACAGTGCTGATAAGTTTCCTCACAATCGTCGACATTTTGATCTTGGATACTATATAGTGGCGAAGAGAAATGACAAGTGCAACAGCTGAAAGTAAACTGATGGAGAGCTTCAATTTTTGTTCAACAAGTGGCCTCTCTTATCGGCTTTTGCTTTTCACAAGCTCATTCGCTTTTTTCTGCCTCGCAAACAGGTGCAATCAGCTGTTTTCCTTAACAGCTGCCTTTTGAAAATGTTAACAAAATGTTAAGTTTATAAAATATAGTATTTATTCTGTTAAAAATTTACAGACTTACTATTATATACTAAACTAATATGTATGACAACAATTTTGAAAGGTTTTTAAGAAGGACTACCACGTTTATATTCACGTGAAACCTAATATTAATTCATTCATTAAGTTAAGTTAACTGCTTTTAATATCTTAATTAACATTTTTTTGTGGAATTAATAATTCACGATCTTGAGAAATTTGGGTCACACCCGCTTTCTCTAGCTGGCGGACTTTGTTTTTTGGCCAACCAATATTTGATTTAACGCCATGAAAAATGCATGCCATGTCACTTAGCCACGCCCATCTGAGCCGCCCCGACTAATTATTTATTATTTGGCAATTGCTGTCTGTCAGTCGCTGTCAGCCAGGGCCAAAAAGGTAAAAAGAAAGCCCGGCCGCAGAGTTCCCGTTTCAGAATCTTTACGCATGCCAAAAGAAAAAAATTCCGAAAAAAAATTAAGAAAAACACTCTGTAATTATATTCTTCATATACAGACGGCGATCCTGAAATGTGGCAAAGGGTCTTAATCCCGGACTGAAAGCTGCACCCAACTGCAGCATCCAGCGTAGGTGCAACCTCAGAGCAAAGAGAACACGCCCAGCAAAACGCCGCCTCAAGATTGATTGCAGACGCTTTGTTGTTTCTGTGGCTAAAACACTGAGAGAAGTTCTTATATATATATTGTAAAAGGTAATAGTTAGAACGTTAATTTATCCTAGTAACTAAATGACTTTCAAAATTGCATAATATTAGGGAAAATATATAAATAATAATCTTTTTTGAGTTCGTTTAATCCCTTTAATATGATGAACATAAGTAACTTTGTTTATAGTGCATTATTGGTGCTGCAGCCATCCCACGAAGTTGCAACGAAATGCTGAAAGAAATTTCTTTGGTGCCTCTGCCCGAAGCATTTTGATGTCGCATTTTAGTGCATTAATTACTTTATGATCCACTTTATGCGCATAAAATATGCAAGTTTCAAAATCGAGGGGAAAAGCAATTTCACAACGGGCATCTTCGTGGGTGTTGCGGGGGTTTCATTTAATTTTCTTCTTTTTTCTTCTGTTCGAGTCAACAAAATCAACATTGATATTAATTAGCCGCATCCCGATATTGATTTATACACACAATTTACTTTGTTTAATGATGGCCCCTGGCCTGGGCAAACAATTTTACATTAAATGCTTTAATAAATAAAGCTCTAAATAAGCCAAACGGCAACGAGGAAGATGCCATATAATTACCAGGCAAATAACAAATTGCCATTGAGTTGCTGTACTGCTGCCAAGGTGTGCATTAAGAAAGGGCCGGGCCAGAACCAGATTTCCAGCCTGAACTCGAACCCTTAAGGATCCCAGAACAGCGAAGATCTGAGAACAAGTTGCTCAATATTTATGGCACTTGTTGGAGGAGTTGGAAGAGTCTCAATACCATGTCGATGTGATTGCCAACAGGTGCGGATTTTTGACTTCAAAAAGGGGTGCAGTGCCAAGAGGTAATCGATGTTTGGTTTTTGGGTCATGAACTGAGCTGCAGGTGAAGAGTATTTGAATTATTTTTAATTTTTAAATTGGGGGAACAACGTGTCTTCCCCAATGGTTATTATTATTTCTGATATAGTATATATTCAAGAAACAATTAAAACAGTATATCTTATTATATAGAGTTAACTCTTAGCATAGCTCGAACCGCACCTGAATATGAAAGATCCTCCTGTCCCAACTCGATCAACTTTCCCTTTCCGCTTGACATACTCGTGGGGATGGCCTCCCCATCATTTTCGTTGCTGCCATTTTTTATTGGCTCAAATAACTTCATTTGTTTAAGGCTTTATTGGAGCGCCGTTGGCTAAAAGCGATGCTGGGACAGGTCTCTCCATGGCGCAAATTACAACAATTTCTCAGACGACCAAGGAGCTGCGGCTACCGCCACTTGCCAGTCTGGTTATTGGATACTCTATAATTTGCATGTGATTTTTATGGCTTGCTCGATTTTCATGCTAAGTTATTTGATTTTAATTTGCTGCGTAATTGCCGGTCTTCGACTTCAAACATCAGCGGTAGCAGGAGGAGCTCCACCGCCAACTGGTAGCCAAGTTGTCTAGGTCCACCTTCCTGCCCATTAACCCGCAGATTTATGTTTATGGCACTATTGACGCGACTAATCTGAAACACGATGTTGGGCTACTCAATTTTGCAAAATAAGAATGGTTGCCATTTATCCAAAAGTGGGTGGACCGAATAGAATCTCAAGGACGATCCATAAAGCTAGCAATTTAAAGGGTAATTGTAAGGTTCTCAAAGATAAAATATATATAGATTGTAGATTATTTTTGGCACTGAAGTTATCCAATCTTATATTGCTTGTAGCTGCGGAAAAGCTTAAACTTCTTTTTAAAGGTTTCCCTTTAACTTTATAAAATAATACCTAATAATGCTTTAAATGCTAATTCCACATTTATAATACAATTAATTTCTTATAAATAGACAAATAAACTTTACTATAAACTGCTATTTATGGAAATGCTTTTATTTGTAAATTTCCTAACCCCATTGCTACCTTTCTATTGCTTTTTTCCTCGCCTGGTCAGTCGAACCTCTCATATCCACAACGCCCACGTTGGAATATCTGTCAGGGGTACCTCTCGACTGGCTTTAATTACCACCGATCCAGCTCCTCCCCAAAACCGCCTTCGATCTCTACCAATCCTAATGCCAACTCCACAGGATATGGCCAACGGAGTTGACATGCAACTGCCAAAACGATGCTCAGGAAAATGTTATGGCCGCGCAAGTGAAAATTGCACTTTTAGTGTGTGTGTGTGCTTTATTTTTTGTTAATTTGCAATGCAAAATAGCTGCACGATCCCAATGCCTATGCCGATCCAGATCCACGGGCCGAGGCACACGCCCTAAACGCCACAAATGAAAACTAATGATTTTCACTTTATAACTTCGACGGTAGGGAGGGCAAGTGGAGTTGCCTCACGCAAAAGTCGCCGCACGGAAGCGAATGGGATTGCGGGCTTTTCAGTTGAGTTGAGTTGCTTTGGGCTTGCATGGAAAATTTGAAATTTAATCGCTGGCAATTAATTTGGACCAAATGCAGTGAAAAGCGTTCCAGCGAGGAGATGGGGGGACGAGGTGGGTGGGGCTAGGACTGGCGCCCCCACAGTTGCAGCAGCTGCACCGCCCGTTGAGCATCGAGGTGGGTCAGTCGCATGTCCACCTGTATCGATTGGGAGCAGCAGCCGCCACGGGAGCAGATGCACTGTTAAAAAATATAATTATAGTACTTACCAATATTTATTTATCTTTGTTTTATGTAGATTTCGAGCATTAAACATCCAATTTCGAACTTAAAATTCTTAACCGATTTATAGTCTCAAATTAATAGCCATTAATAGATTAGTATTTTTAGCTTATTTTTCCTAGGTGCACCTCTACCCAGTTGGATCGGCGTCTGTGTGGTCTAAGGGGTCCATCGGGTCTCAAGTCTTGAGTCTCCACGTTTCGATGACAAACGAACGTTCAGCATCCAGCATTCGGCACCGGACATTCAACATTCGCATTCGGCATCCAGCATCCAGCATCCACTAGCCACCATCCAGTATCCAGCATTCGACATTTGGCAAGTGGTCAACTGCTCAACGTCGCAGTCGGTGGGCAGGAAAATTGAAAAATTAACAAGTATGAAATGTGCAATTAAAGTGGGCTAGTCCCGTCCCCCACATTACCCATGGGTAATTCGAGCCCGAGCTCGATCCCGTCTCCAAAGCCCCCTTTGGATTACTAGGAAAGTGAGGATGACAACGACATCGACAACGTTGTCTACACCTGAGCTGCTGATGCTGCTGTTTCTCCTGCTCCTTGGAACCTTGGAAAAGAGGTAGGCGAATTATTAATCTACTTTTAATTGCAGCCACCCGGAGGAGCTCCTTAGTCAAGGTACTAGGTACTTGTTGTGGCACTTAGCTCCACCCCAGAGATCATGCCCCATTGATTAATGTGCGCCAATTGTGAAATAAATGTTTCCCTGCCCGAATCTTTGGCTTGCTGGCCCCTCTTGCTACCTAATTGAATTATTGGCAGGGGCAAATTTGTGGCAGACACATATTCATATTCACTTATGCGAACCATAAGGTTGGGCGTGGTTGTTGCCTTATTGATCGTTGTTTGCTCAAAGGCGGAGTGGCTAAAAAAATAATGTCGGGCCAGGAGGACCAACGAGACGCGTGCGGGATATGAAATCTCCAAAAGATGTTAATGGTTGGCACAATTTTTCAAGAATTTAAAGTGAATACTGGTCGATGGAGTTTCAGGATGAGACTGGATTACTTCTTATAACAAAATTGTTTTTATGATTTCTCAAAAAGGTACAAAGAAACACCTTTAATGCCTAGAGGAAATAGTGGCTCCCAAAAGAGGCCACATCACGTGTGACCCAGCAAGCCAAAAAAAATGTATCCCCATTTCAAACCATAAGATTGCATCACATGACCCAATTCGATCATATTTTCGAACACAAATATTGACTTATTTTTGCCATTTTTCTGTGTTTTCACCCACTTTGCCTTTGGCCTCGACTTGATCTCAGCGGGCAAAGTGGCACACTTGGAGTCGTAGTTGAAGTTTCCAACTGGGAAATGCAATTGCCGCAAATTGGCCAGCAACAAGAAGACAACAACCACAATAACCAACAAGGTACAACGAGGTCAGTCTAGGGCGATAGCGTCGATGTAGATGGGTCCATGGGAGTCGCCAGTTGTTGCTCCTCTTGGCCATGTTCTCCCTAATGTCAACTCATATTGTCCGCGGTGGGTGGACGGCGGTGTTGGGTTTGGCCTACTTAAAGGAAATAAACCAGCTGCACTGTGAAAAAAATAAAGAATAAATAAAAATATAAAAAGTAAAATATGTTTCTGCTTTAAGATCTGAATTTAACATATCTCAAAGGCTTATCATTAAACTTTCTCTTTAGGGGTTATACTTATAATTCGAAAAAGTTCTTAGTATTTCTTTCAGTGCCAAAATAGCAAGAAGAATTGCCTTATAATCGCATTGTTGGAGGTGGTGTCACATGGGCAAACAGACACGAACTTTGCATTTGGTTCTTTTCTTCTCAATTTGGCTGTCTTGCCAAAATTTTATAAACTTGACCATAAACAATTGAATAGGCCGCCGTTGAAGGACAGAACAAATGCATATTCCGGATGGATGCGAGTTGAGTATTCAGGGCGTAGCCGGAGTTTGCGTTTGTTTTGAATTGTGGTCCTCAGGTCATGAAATCTCCGCCCCAAGCTCCCCTCGTTGCTGGATTGATAACACCCAAAAATAAAAGGAAACTTCGGGGCCCATGGAAGCCGACATGCATCTGCAGTTGTCCCCAAGAGTATTTCCTGGCCGCCTTCGCCGGCCTCTTGTAGCCTGTCACTGGGTGCAGAAAAAGAAAACGACGGAAAAAATTCATTAAATTGAAAAAAGGGTACCAAGTGCAAAAGGTTACAGGTAGAGCCAGCACACAAAAAACAAACGAGCCGAAGAAAGGGATAAGAAATAAAAATCACAATAAGCCAAATGAAGTAAGCTCGGAAGTTAGGGCTTTCATTGGTGGAAGTTTTATGCCCTTACAAGGTAAATTGTTTAAGAAACTTAGAGCTTTTATAGATAATTATTTTTGAAATATATTTTTTTATTAAGTTTTATGTATATAATAATCATTTTTTTAATGCACTTCAGTATTTAGTTGTACAAATTATTTAAAACCTTTTTTTGTATTTTTTATTGTCATATATCAATATCAGCCAACGAACCTTAATCATAGAGTATAAAAAATAGTGTACACTATACAAGTTGGAGGAAACAACAACACCAGCAGCAGTAAAAAGAAACACCAACGAAACCGAGAAATAAATCTGACAAAAGTTTTTCAGTCGCAGCTTTGACTTTAGAATGGCCCGATGTCCGATGATGAAGTGATTTCCAGGGGCGGGGGCTCTGACTTTTTCTCAGAGGGGATCGTAGAGGGGCTAGAGGGCAGCCAGTGGGACTGACTGGAACTTGAAGCCGGTGGAGCGACTTTAATGCGCACGCGCTGCCTGCCACTTAACGAGCGGAGGCCTCAAGGAAAGAAAGCTCCTGCTGCCTTCGAGGGCGTTGTAAGATCTCCTCGATGGCTCCAAAAAAAAACTCGAAAAAAAGGAAAAAAAGAGGTGACAAAGTCACGAAATTCTTGTCAATTTTCAACTACAGACCAATTTGTTTGTCTTCTCCTGGTTGCCACAAAAAAAAAGAAATCTAAAAAAACAGCAAAATAAAAACGCCGAACCGCAAGGAAACCAGAAAAAAAAGCATCGTGACAAATCAAGCTACCAAAATTGGAAGCCGACTTCGCGGCTAGAAGAGTTTGGAGTTGGGTGCCCCGGGGCAATCGACCCATATTAATAACTTTTTCCCAGCCCAATTCTTCTCCAGGTAGCTGCCTCAGTTTTCCGCACACAGTTTTCTCACATCGCCGATTTTGGTTGGCCATAAAGCCAAATGAAATCGTCTTGGCTAAGTGTTTTCCCCAGTTCCCGGCCATATATAGTCGATTGATTGCTCCACTAAGCGACGATTCTTGCCCACGGCGGCAAAACACTCTTGGATCTCCGATCTGGGACTGGGATCTATCCCTCGGTCATATCAAACAAAATAATTTGTGCAACACTTGCGGCACAATAAATTTCAATTACAAACATTTTAAGGCACTTTTACTGCCACCAGAATTTGATGTTGATGTAATGGTTACTGCCCCAGTGTGGGAGGTGTGAATGGATATGGTTTTTGTTACCAAATATGGCTAAAAACCTTTGCCAACAGCAGGCTTGGCAGATCGACCAAGTTTCTACCTCTGTCGGCCTCTGTTTTCATAAAAATATTTAACATTTTTCTCACACAGAAAGATAAATAATAGTTTTTCTATTGTTAGTCAAGATTTTAAGAGAGAACTTTTTCTTTATATTTTTAAAGTATTTTAAGTAATTCCTAACACTCAAAAGTAAACAAAAGAGTGACTACTAAAAGAGAAACAATAAAAAATAAATATATACGATTTATTAGTACTGATAACCATTTTTGATGAGTGTACGAGAGTCTGAGTGAAATATTTTTTTAGAAAGTCCCCAACTGACCTCAGAGAGGCTTCCACTTTGCTGGGAACATGAAAAATCAATCATGTCAGGATGGGAATAAGATGTTGACAACGGGCCAGATCAAAAGCTGGATCGGAAACATTATGGCCGCATTGTGTAAGCTGGTTAGTTGGTTGGCTGGCTGGCTGGCTGGTTGGTTGGTTCGTTGGCCAGGAAAATGCGTAACGAATTTATGGGTCCAGATGGGGATGACAAATCCACCAAATCCGATCCAATTCTGTGCACATATCACAGCGGCGACCACACCCGAGATCCCAATCCCGGTCGGCCCACTTGATCCTGGCTGGAAAACTTCAAGCGCCACATGTTCGTGCCTTGTTTTGATTTACTCTGGCGGTTGGTTTATTTATAGACGCCTGCGCCGGGCTCCCTGTTGCGTCATCTGGGGGCGGCGGTGGGTGGCTCGCGACTCACAACTCTCGATCTCGAAACTACCACCCAGTTGCCCCCTCATTGCAAAAAAAAAACCTTCTTGGGCCCGCTGTCGCTTTTTAATTTGGCAAATTTATACACACCACGCGGCCACAGAAGTTTGCCCAGTTGGTTGTTACTTGTCGGCAATTGGTTTATTGTGCCCAGCATAGTGGAAATAATTTAGAAGAAAATAGTTATTCATAAAGCAGAAAGTAGGAAAAGATTAGTTAATAATAGTAAAGATTCCCTAAGAATAATAATAAAAGAAATTTTCGATTAGAAATATTACTTTATTACCAAGAATTGGCTTAATTTTGCACCACTGTACTGTCAGTTGATTCATTCAGCTGAAAAACCGTTTCCAATCCGGACCACCCACTGTCTTAAATTTCAGCAAATCCACTCGGAAACCGAGACCAGACTCTCGACTTGAACTGGGCATATTTATCAAATTGTTCAGAGAAAAAGGAAATCGCAACAGATGCTAAACAAATGTCGGCTTAATTAATAGATTTATTGGTTTTGTCTTGCATATTACAGCGTCGAAAAATTGTTAACGAATTAATCCTTTCAAGGCGTGCAAATTGCGAGGCATTACTCATACGCCCCGATGTGCCCCCGAATCGACTAATGAGCCACTGGCTGTTCACCTCCCTTGGGTCAATAAAAATGGTTAAAAACTGCATTGGCCTTTGCCAAATAAGGTAAGCCCCACAACTTTAACAGGCGCATCTCTTGCGGATATTTAAAATTTATGTGAGCCACCGAAAGGTTTTGTGCCAGTTCCAGCGAACTCTGGGCAAACAAAAAAGTGCAGCCACTCAGCCACTCGTAGACCAGACCAAACTGTGGGTCGCGTTCCGCCTGAATCTTCGACAGGCAACACATGTTCGGCCTGCGCCTCCTTTACTGGGCCCAAAACCCAGCTTGCGTTTATCATGCCACAGTCAACATGATGATGACGACGGCGGATGACTATGCTTGCTACGCTGTGCCAACAAAATAAAGAGCTAAAGAACAGTGAGCTTAAAAGTCTTTGGTTGTAGACTTAGCAAGACTACTTGTTAAATCCCACTAGAACCCTAAAATTATAATAATAATAATATCCTTAACTTAAACTAGACTTTTTTTTTCAGTGCAGTTGCACTCTGCTACTGTTCTCTGGTCTAGGGTCTGGCACTTCCACTTCAACTGCAACTGCTACTGTGCGCAAAACTGTCAAAAAACGAGGGAACAACTGATGCTGGTCGCATGGCCTGAACTGCATGTGGGCTTGATTTAGTGCTACGTTCTCTGACTGCTGATGCAGTGGATGAGGATCAGGATTGGGGGTCGAGAATGAGGAGGATCGCTGAGTTATGACTTGAACTCTGTAGCTTTGCTCTTGACTTTGGGTTACAGACCATGATCCGAGTGGAATATTTCAGTTTGTGGGTCAATAACAATTCGAGTGTCAGTGTTAATACCCTCAATGTAGGGCTTTCATAACTATCTACGCAAAAACCTAAAAGCTTCTTTACTAACCGTAAAGGTTATTATTTGCCACTTGAATGTGCCTTATCAGACAAAAATGCTTTTCAATGAAGGGCGCTTGAAGTACAAGATTGATTATTTGAATTAAATATGAATTACAGTAGATATTGGCAACTAAAAATATATTTTATATTAAATTAAATAAAAAACTTGTTTTCATTTAATGCATTTTTATTATGAGGTTATACAATACTTGCCAGTTTTGTAACACTAATTTATGGTCTAAGTATTGTGATTATCTCTGACTTTACCCAATTGAGTGTGTTCTTATCGTTAGAAGAGCCTGATGCAATGCGAATCACAGCTTATCACTTAGAAAATAAACACTCAATTCTTTTCCTATATAAAGTGGACTGATCAATCGGCAAATAGTCACAGTTCAATCGAAGTTCATCATGGCTGCATTTGTGAAATTTTCACTAGTTTTCCTAGTTGGTTTGTCTTTTTGCCTGGCCGAAAGCCTGGCTAAGCATCCAAGTCGACAGGAAGCGGAGGAGGACATGTCCAAGTTCATGACTGTTCTACGTCAGGAACAACTTAGTGAAGGCTCGCCACGATTCAATGATGTCCTGGGCAATGCAAGGACCATAATCGAATACCAAGACCATGGATTCATTGGAGTGCGAAGTATTTTTCAGTGGATGACCAGTCCAAATCCTCGCAACGATGGGGTCTATAACTTCCTGCAGTTTTACACCACCGAATCGAGTGGATACATTGGAATCCAAAACTATGAGAAGAGCTCCAAGTATACGATTCTGTTCTCCGTTTGGGATGCAGATGGTGCTATTCCAGGTGATAACTTCGAGTGCAGTACCTTCGGAGGCGAGGGCATTGGTTACAAGTGCTTCAACGGCACTTTCCCACTGATTAGCAATGCCATTTACTTTTTGGATGTACAGATCGAAGGCTCCACCTTTAGAGGCTACATCTCGGAACCGCAAGAGAATCTGGACAGCGTGACCAGCAATCAAGTGACCAGGCATTTGATTGGCGAGATCACCACTCCGCACAAAGAGCTGACTAACCTCATACCCTTTGGCTACTACAATGAGAACTATCGGGATAAGGACACCTGCCGCGAGGCCTTTGAACTGGTCACCGTTAACCAGGCTCCTCATCAATATACAAAATATGGCCATGCTAATACCAAGTTCACCGAAGCCTATCTCTATAATTCGGAGTGCGAGGTGGAGAATATTCTGGTGGCCCTCACGGCAGACAAGAAGAGCACCATCTACTTCACCAGGCCCACTGCTTTAGATCTATATGATTGAAGTTTCATTTTAATATTGTTTAAATTATTATTATGTTTTACTATATTTAAATACTATTAAGCAAGAACAACAATATGTGAAATTCTTGAAAGAAAAATAAATATTTATTGAATTATCAATCAATTTAATACACGAAGTTCTTTTTTTAGAGTACCTTTAGGCCCTTCAGAAAATCTATTAATCTTAATACCAACATCTTTGTTTATCCCCAGCTTTTATAACTTTTTTAGAACCTCGCGCTTTAACATAAGATCCAAGCTCACTTGTTCCTCACCTGAATCGCGGTTTCAGGAACTTTATCTAGACCACACTTCAGCTTGGTAGCTTCTTTTTGCTGGTACCATTTCTGCTCATTAAGACCAATCCTCTGGCTCGATGCGTTTTTAGCATGTCCTACGCAGTCGGGCTCTAACTTTTTATTGTCTGTTCGGGCAGGCGGACAAAAAGTGGCAAAGGAGCGAAAAAAATAAATGAACTGTCCCATTGTCTTTTGGGATTAGGGCTCTCCTAGAGCTTGGAGCATAGCTTCTGGATGGGTCTTGGGGCTTCTGCGCCGATGGTGGGTGATAAATGTTGAAAGGCGAGCGGTGGCACTGGCACAGACTCCATTGAAATTAGTTATTCACGCGGATCGTTTAAGGCAATCCAACACCAGAAGGCAGAAACTTGGTAGCTGCCTGCTGTTCTACTGTTGTATTTGTTTAGAATACCCTTTAGTAAGAGAGACTATGGGGGTATATACTATTTAGCGACATTAATGAATTATTTGCCTTTTTAATTTCTCTTAACATATTAAGGTGATAAAAATAAATACCTAAGTGATTTTATTTTCATTTTTGATCTGTTAAAAAGTTGCACAGTTATATTGTAGACTTAACACTAGATAGCTAGCAATAATTGTCCCAAAATGCAATATCAAAATATCATTGCATACTTTTTGGAGATACTATTTGGTCTAGGAAATATGGGTTAGTTTAAGTACATTTTTTGTAACCTTTTTATAGTGGTACTAGAGTTCTAACTACCAGGTATCTAAATGTCTTAAACTTCATTAAAAACCTCCACCTTTTTTGTTGGCCATTGCTCTTGGTCATGGCTTGTCAGTGATGGCTTCTCGACTGCCGCTTTTGTTTTAATGATCGTGCCCGGGATGCTCATTTACCGCTGCAGTTGGCCAACTGCAAACTGCAAACGGCAAACGGGATGACTCCTTGGCTTTGTGTCTCTTATCAGTGCAACATTTTGCATGTTGGCCAGAAAAGCGCAGTGGCCACAGGCACGTCCTCCTCCTCGAACTTAAGCATTTGTCACAGTCCTTCCCCCGCTGCAAAATAAGGCCCTAATATACACAAACAACCACACACACACTTAACATGTGTCTTTTTATGTATGCTTTTAGCCAGTTTTATCGTCGGGTTTTGGCTACTGCGGCGCTCCATCGTCTCTGGCAATCCCCTCCTCTAATGGCTCATTTCCTCGAGCGGCCAACAACAACGGTAATTAACCTGTGCATGTTAATGAACTTCAAACTGCAAAACTCCTACTACATGGCACTGAGCAAAGAATGGTACTAAAAAGTTCCATTTATATTTTGTTAGAGATAGAATCTATGCATATTACAAAATATATAATTAAATAGATAGCAGATATAGTATACTAAGTAAAAATAAGAATATTAAGGCTTTTATATCACTTAAATATTTTTCTCAGTGTACACCCGACAAACTGTCCAAAGTTTATGTAGATTTTTGTCTTCTCTCCTCACGTTGGCGCTAATGCAAATGTGAAAAGGCATTTTGTGAGCCAAAATGAGGTTGTTGTCGTGCCGCTGACAATCTAATTAGAATACAAAATGCTTTTAGAGGCAAATGCAACTTAAGCTTTAGCTCCTGCTCCTTGGCTTTGGGTCCAGTGGGTCTTCAGTGGGTTTCAAGTTCTCGGTGTTGACATATGTAGTATGTAGTTGGGTAACCCCTTTTATATATCTCCACCGCCACCAACTCTCTGTGGTTGAATAACATTTTGACAGCGCATTCGCCGAGATTTGATTTCACCGACTAGGAGGACATTATTGTGATGAGATGGCGAGTCGGGGAAGTCGGAGTCATTTTGATGGCCGCAATCGAGATGCAGCTATCGATGAACTGCGGGCCAAAATAGTCAACTTACATTCATAATGAGTGGAAAGTTGAGACAGGCCAGGAAAAGTAATATAGCAGCCAGGTTATCTATGATTTTAATGGAAAATTATTTCGGTTTAGGGTTTAGAGAGGATTGCAGATTAACTTATAGTAATCTTTGGATATTTACTTTTAGTTTTCCATGTTAAATTTATAGGATGTACTGATAAAGAGTAGAAACTGAGACATTTCAATGAAATGTACTTGTTTTGGAAATAATATTCCTTTAATTAGAGTCAGGTTTGACATAAAATCAACAAATATTCTTTGCTTAATCAATTTAATCTAGGACAACTTCCTCGAAAGCAATTTACCTTCCATCTCTCATGCATTATGCGTCACGTAGTTTACCCCATCTGCTCCACCTTGTACAACAAGTTTCAACTTTGAACTTCAACAATCGATTCGATGTGCCCACTCATGGCAGCCCAAGTGGTTTTCATACCAGGAACTGACATCACATTATAACGTATTTGGTATATGGGCGGAGATGAGGAGCAGGAGGTTGATCACAGCACGTGCAGGGAGTCAACAAGGCAGGCACACATATCGGGCTAATTAAGCAGACTTCAAATGAAAGCCAACAAAAGAAGAGATTCGATCGTGGGCCAAGCGACACCACCTGGAGCTGAAAGCCATAGCTGAATCTTTCAGATCGAGCTGGAGAGGGCCCAGAGTAGAGCACCCACAGAGATTGGAGCACCCAAGGCACGCGATAATCAATCAAAAACCATTAAAGCCAAGCGTTTCAGCCGAGACAAAGACAATCAGTGCAGAGTAGAAAGCATTTCGCTGGAATGAAAAGGCAGAGAAAATGGAGGAGACGCGGCGGGTGGGTGTGGCAAAATCAAATATGCGTCAAGACAAGTTAAAGATCAAAATCAAGATCAAATAGAGCACGAGATCAACTGAGGGGGAAAAAGTAAAACGGTTGCAGTGGATGATTGACAGAATTAGAATAGGAAATCGTGAGCAAAGCGGTTGGGGGAGTTCCCCACATTACGATTACGAGTATTATTAAATGACCCAATTGTGGCTAAAACGGCTCTTTGTTTGGCCCTAAGCAAAAGTGAATGGAGAAGAATGTCGCCTGTCTGGGCTTCGGTTTCAGTTCCTCCTTCTTCTTTCCCCCGCTGGCCAAATGTCGTTCAGAGTTGGCAAATGCAAATTAAACCCCACCACCACATCGACTTCCCAGTGCAACTTTCTAAATGAAATTCCGATCGCACTAGGTCCAACCTCTCCTGCCCCTGCGAAAATCTCCCCGGCTTTTCCGCTCTCATGTGTGAGCAAAATTAAAGAAATAATTTCGAGTAAAAATATACCAGCTGATTGTCACCTGGCAGGCTAGCCAAAAGAAGTAGAGCCTTTATGGGTCTGACTAAATCAAAGCCATGACATCGCGAACTCCTTTCTAAAAACGTCGCTGCTAATTTGCATGGGCAAAAGCAGCTGGAGGATTAATTTTGGAAAATCAAGAAAAGTTATTGTATATACCATTTTGGAAAAAATTTTCCAAAATTTGAATGCAAATTTACCAATTTAATCTTTTAATCCTTTTTTACATATTTCTAAATTTGATATTATCAATTGAATAATAGCTATCTTCCTTATAAAAAATTAAGTAAGTATTTTTCACTCAAATTTTGCACTGTGTATAATTTATCTACCAATTGTCTCTACAGTGGGCTCAATTAGAGACGCATTCGCAAATTGCCTTGCACTTTTATTGTCACCACTCGTGAGACGCGTCCATGGATCTTGGGTTTGAGTGCGGTGGCATTTTGTCGCGACGCCTGCGACAATGTCTGGGTACCATCATCAGTCACTGCTGGACACACCAGGTCCAAGTAATTGCCCCCGACATGCTCCGTCAGCCCAAGTCTGACCACTTGTAGGCATTTTGTTTGACTTGGATTATCGCTAAGTGCATAAGTTTAACATTCCGCGGATGTCCAACTAAACGACGGATTAAGCGGGACCACTTGTTGGGTGTTGTTTCAGGTCGATTCTGACCTTGCATTACAGGGAATTATTGAGAGTAGGCTCTGTGCCCAGGAGGTGAGTGACTGGAGCCTCTGGGAACTTAATTTAAAATAGTAAGAAAAAAACTAAAGTTCAGAATATTGAAAGTAAAGTTATTGCCTAGCATAAATAATAACTAATTCTAACCTTTCACCATTGATTCGGAAACTGTTATTATGCTGTCCTTTTGTGGTTTATCCAAAAATAAGGCACCCACAGCAACAGCTTAAGGCCAATCTATTCAGCACATTCACACTATATTCATGATCTCCGTAAACGGAGTACCCGCATCCCATGCCAAGTGCCCATTAAGCCGCATATATAAATCACCATTAATTTGACAGTGGATTTTTACATAACTCAGGCAAACAGGTGAAAGCGAAAAGCGCACAGCTGCCGGAGGACAGTGGAGAGATCATGGAGTGTCATGGAAAACTCGCCACTTGCACTCGTGGAAATTGACTGGTTGTTCCCCTTGGGACCCTCCTCCCTCCTTGGAGCAGATGGAAGAGAAGGTTGAGGTTGGCATGCAAAATCGAATTGTGTGCTAATATTTGGCCAAAATGCAAAGAGCCCGCGGTTATCGCCTCACCACGAACATGACGAAGTGACTCCAGATGGGGAAGTTTTCAATGTTGCCGCTGCAGTAATAAAAATCATTACTTTCAAGCCTAAATTGGCAAATGTTGGCAGGGGGAGAATGCGGGATATTCGCCTGATCGACATGCAATGTCAGGGAAATTGCTGTCAAATGGGTAAAAGTGCAACACAAAGAGAAATAAATGTTGAAATTGTTTTCATTTCATGGATTAAAAATTGTATTTTTGCTTTAATTTTTTTTTTAGAATTTTTCCATGAGCGCTTAAAAGTTTACAAAGAACCTTCTGATAACTGGGATCAAACCCGCTTAACCATGGAGATGACCCAAAAGAAAGCTCACACATGACAAACGTTTCGACGAATAGCTATGGAAAAACTGTGCCATGGAAAAACACGGCTTTTGTTTTAGCCCTAACCGCAGACAAGATGTCCCAGCTAAAAGCTTTTCCCGAAAAATTCCAGAGACCCCTTCGGGTTCCCCCATATGACAAGCACAATTTCTCAATACGTTTTGAGGCAAATATAGAAATCTTTTACTTTCACTGACGCCGCACATTCTTGGAGCGCCAAGTGACCCCAGTCGTGGTCGTAGTACATTTGAGGAAGGCAGCCGCCCTCATATCTCGATCCCAATCCTCCTCCGTATGTTGATTCCGCCAATCATCTCGGTATACGCTTAAACGAGAGACGAAATTATTTCGCTGGTTAAGAAGCAGCGATGTGCGGGATCTGGGCACGACGATCATATTGACGAGGTGCATCTTCATGTCACACAAGAAAGAACTGGAGTGATCGAGTTCTCTCACCATCTGATTACTACTTTGATCCAGCTCTGTAGAGGACGACTCTTCGGGTGAATCGGCGGATATGGTGGATTTTGAACGGATAACTGCCGGGAACTTACTTTCTATGAGCATCTTATTCTGATTGATCAGGATTGGAACCCAGGACTGCAAATCGTGGATTCCTTTATCCAAAGTTTCCAAACGAGTCTCCAGCCTGTCTAAAATTACGCTAGACGATACCTTAACTGCTCTTTGATTTGGGGCAAAGGTTAGCCTAACTCTTTCGGCTAGTTTCTTAGCCGTCGGTTCCCTGGCCCACAGCTCAACCATGGATTCCTTAACATCCATCTTCGGCTCTTCAGCAACTGTTTCTTTCTTTTCTGGCTCTGGCTTGGATTTAACGAAAAGATTCACTGGAACTGTTGGAGTCACCACAATGGGTCCTTCGGCCAATCCATCAGTGCATCGCCTGATCTCCAAAGGACGGGGTTGGGCGGAAGTGGATGCCACTGCACGTTCAGCCTCCCTACTATCGCCCACATATTCAACCTTTGAATGATTATCGGCTTCTGATTGGAACTCATTTCCGTGCGCCATTATGTCCTGGATGAGTTCTGGTGAGAGGGGTACATGGCGCTTATTGCGGGCTGGCTCGAAAGGCCTCATAATACTGGTCTTGTTTGTAAAACTATTAATTTTGATAAAAATGTTTATACAAATTTAAAAAGCCGGACTACATTGAACTGGATATAAAAAATGTAAGGATGAAAGTGTTGGATTTTGATTGGTAAAGAAAAGAAACAATATTTAATTTTTTAGAAGATCAGCGTAGAGTATGGCATTACCTTTTTGTTTGTTTTTTTCAAAAAGTCCCTGAAACTAACCATAATGCATAGCACTATCATTAACATTTTAAATTTTATTTACATTTTAAATTGACTTTTAACTTATATTTTAAAACAATGTCTTTCGCTCGATTTTTGATACAATAAGCGGCTTCCCAAAGTTTGTCAAACATTTTCAAAAAATATAAAACAAACCTCAATATGTACACTTTACTTGTTTCTTGGTTACTTGTCTCTTTAATTTTATTTTTTGCACATTATTGGACAAGAGGATATTTATAGCAAAATTGTGAAATGCTTTAAGGAAATTTGAATATCTGACAACAGAAATGGAGTTCGGGCAATTTTACAGCAAAAAGACGGTGAAATTGTCAGGTGGGTGTCACGTAGTTACAAAAATCAAATAGCTAACCGATATTCATCGATTTCAGGATGCCATTATTTAGAAGGTTTTTCCTTTGTTTTAGTTTACGAAGCGGTGCCCTTACTATTGCATATTCTGGACTTGTTATTATCATAATTGACTCAATATGCACTATTTATAATACTAAGTTTTGTGGAGAAATTAAGATCATGCGTATTATTTCCACCATCTGGAATGTACTGTCGGAAATAGTTCTTTTGACTGCCGTTTATCGGGTAAGAGATAGCTTTTAAATCGATGAGCTTAGTTAATAATGCTTTAAGCCTGAATATAACTAACATGAACATTTCAGGAAAATCCTAATTTGCTGCCCGTCCACCTGGTAACGTGTCTTTGTGGACTGATCCTCGAAATGTCCAGTCACATGATAATCGCTGGAATCGGTCTGAGTGACTCATTTTTGATCGGCTATGCATTCTTCGCAATTGGCTGTAAGTGAATTCTTTAAACAATAACCCTATTTTCCACTACATACTTCATTTTCCGTTCGATTCTTCATAGATGTGTCTGCAGACCTGATGATCGTGCTGAGCTACTACCATTCGGAGGTTTAGTGGACTACTCCGATTACCCATTAACCCAGGCAGCCGAGCGCAGCATGTAGCATTTGTGGTGCGCGATTAGGCGAGGAAATTTATTTGGAAAATGTTGCGCAATCTGTTCAGTGCATAAATCGTGGCCAATTGTCACCAGCGAATTGGCAACTGAACTCCAGCGACCTGCGTTTAATTATCGCCCCACTAGCGCACGGTGTGCTACATGCGTGCTAATTGACCAGGCTGAGGCCCAGCTCCAGTCCGAATCCCGGCTCCGTATACCAGTAACAGTCACAGTACCAGACCAGTCCAAATGTCCAAATGATAACCGCGACGATGAAACGCATGCTGAGCCAAATGAAAATTATGTTGCAATCGTCGAGCGTGCTGCCCGCTGGCTGGTCACTGAACCGGGGGCTTGCACCACCATCCATCCAGCGGGCCTTAATTAATTTCCTTGATTAATTGAAAGTGCGCCTGGCTCGTAGTATTTTCATTTTCTGACTTGTTTTTTTTTTCTTTGTAAGCCGTATAATATGTATTTTTGGCAGTGCAAAGTTGAAGGCAATAAGAAAAATTGCACCGGATTCGATTCGGTAGTATATGATGGGCGGTGCCCTGGCCAACCCTTGGCCATTACTCTTGGCCCGATTCCTTTCCTTTTCCCCAGCACTGGTATTCGATTATGGCTGAAATTATGATCCCTGCAGGATTTGGTGTAATTACTTTGGGATGCTCTGTAAAATAAAACAAATATCTTTTCGTTATTTGAATTTGTTGCTTAATATTTAGAATATTTTTTATTAGCAAAGTTAATAAGCTACTTTACCTGTAAGCATTTTAAAGATACCCAGTAAAAAAAACCTTTAAAATATGTCTCTATACAAGACCATTCAGGTCATTGAACACAAACAATTGTCATATATCAACAGCGAATCGAAACTATAATCTTTGACCTTGTCAACCCACTGAGACCACCAAGTACATCAAGATAAATTAAGCCTCAATTGCGGATTCAGCAGCCGACCAACTAACATCCATCATTCCGGTTTTATGGCCGGACAATAGAACCCGAATGCCCAGCAAGTCAATTTTCCATGCGGCAACAAGTTAGTTGCAATGGAAGTTGCAACGTTCACCGAATATTCACTGATTTCATAAAATATTACGATAAATGTCGCTTTCAACATTTATAAGCCAGAGGATTTTAATACTTTATTGCTTATAACCGCAAAGCGACAGTAAATGCTCCTGCTTAAAGAAACAAAATGCAATCGCATCGAAGGGAATCGCGAAAATAAGGAAAACAAGAAAAATGAATTGTCTTCATTTTGTAATTTAATGGTATTTTATTGAATTTCTGATGTGCCTGGGCAGGGACAAGGCGTATTGCCCCCATCCTTGGCTTTTTACTGGATCGGTATCTGTATCGGAATGGGGATCCCGCAGCATCGCATCTCATCCCATCCCATTCAATCCCAATCCCATTCCATCCGATCCGATCTCCCCCAGCCTGTTGACATTTAAAATATGGCCGCGTGTCAATGCGACTGCCCTACGCCCATTTTTAAGTCAGGTTTACATTTCGATTTCGGTTTCGATTTTTAATTCGCCACTCGCCCCGAAATCCCAGCGTAAATTCAATTTGAAGGTCCGAAGGCCTGCAGAAAAATGTGCTTTCACTTGACCCGCAATGCTGCGTAAATAAATTTTATCGCTCCGCTGACACGTGCGCGTAATATTTCATTAAATTTAAAATCTACAGTAAAAATAATAAAAAAAAAAAATAAAGAAATAACGTGCAAAAATAAAAATAAATATAATTGCGTTCGGTTCAAAACGGCAGCATAAACAAATCGGCGATTGCATCGTAACTTCGTTTTCAATTTGGCAAGTTTGACACTTGGCCAGTTAGTGAGCGCTCGCCGCCTTATACCCTCTGCATTCCAAGTGTCCAGTATGCCCACCTACGTTGGCTTAAAGTTAGTCCCAGCTCCCAATGGGGACTACCTGTCGTGGCCATTGCCGCCTGCCATTCACTTGCCGGCAGTGCGTGCTGCAGTTGCTCCTGGTGGTGGCTGTGTTGCCTTGGCTGCTCTGATTGCAAATGCCAATTGTCGTCGGACCAACAAGAGCAACAGCATGCCAATGTTTATGATGGCTCATAATTTGTTTGCCCATGGCTGGCTCATAACGGAAGCCAAGGATTTAGGTAGAGGCAATCCTAATTACTGATGCAAATGGTGCAGGAAAAGGAATGTGATTTAATTATTTAATTTTCAAGGTAATTCATTTTTTAAATGCTTTCATTTGAATGTTAGCGTTATTCCCTGGAGCTGAAACAAATGCTTCATCCTTAAAGCTCTTTCATCCATGGATTATTCCTGATTATAATATATTAAATCCCTTCTACGAACTATGCAACTTTAAGAGTTTAGTATTGCACTACAACTTGTTTCTCGTAAATTACAAAAAAAAATAAAAAATAAACTTGACTAAACGAACGCCCACAAAGACGAGCTTAGTCCCAAGAGTGATCTACGCCTATTGTGGCTAATTTTTAAAGACTGCCAAGAACCTCATAAACATATGGCCATTATGTTGAACGCTTTGGCTAATGGCCCGCCTGCCACTAAGCCCACTGAGGTGGAGAATATGTACACATGTTATATGTTTCAGGTCTTCCCGTGCCTTGGCAGCAGTTCCAATGAGCTCGTAAAACTCACCGGGCTGTGGGGCGAATGCTCCCAGAGCTGCTTTCGGTGCTTAGTGATGTCTTAGATGGCAACTACAAGTGCTGCTCCCGCTGGTCATTAGGCGAGATGGCGGCACGCACCGGGCGCATCTTGGAGCTGGGTCATTTGTGCCAAGGAATGGGGCGTCACTTAAGCCGATGCTAATTTCCATAATACACGCCTTGATGGTGGCCAACAGGTCCCGATCCCAAGTGCAGTTTTCTCACTCTGCAAATAAACAGTGGAGTCTACAAGAATGGGTCTAGTTTTTGGGCTGTTAAAACGAGCACTCATTATTGGCAATATACTCTGGAGATTATTATACTATTGCTTTTGTTAAAACATTTTTATATCTTTGTTTTCGACCTACTTTAAATATGGATATAATTAGGTTTGTTTTACATAAAGTGATATTTTGCCCACCATCGTACTTTTCTGTACAAAGAATAAATGGTACAGGTAATCTAGGAGGCTTAGCTCAAGGAATGACCACGTGACACTTCAAGTGCGGGAGGGTAATATTCTGGAAATATATAAAATGAGTATTTCGCAATCAAATGAAAGGCAAAATCCAATTTAAGATCACCACCAGGTGACACCTCTCGGCGATCAGCTTCGTGGCCTAGAGACTCCACTTGCCTTGGCCATGGCCATGGCCCTGGCCCTGGACCTGGCATTGTCGATTTAATGGCTTCGCAATTGGCCTGACCCATCTCTTGGCCAACTGCCATGAGTATCGTGGCCAAGTGGTCTGCGCTTTGTGGAGCGGAGCAGGCAGCTTTTGTCGCTGTCCCCGGCAACATGAGTATGATTTATTGAAGTTTATGTGGCCGGAGCAGCTTCTGCCTGCAGTTCGTGATGGCTGCGCTTGGCTTCGTTAGTCGCAGTCCTGGGATCTGGATGCTTAACATTACTCTATTGAGGGGGTATTATGAGTACATTTTGGATCAGGAAATATAAACTTATAAATATATGAATTTGAATATATGGATCAAAGACAAATTTAACCTTTTTAAAGTATTTTTTCGTATGAATTTAAAGAGTATTCCTTACTCGGTCTAAAACCTTTCCAAACTCTTTAGTTTTTGGTATGCCGATCCTGCACTTGGCCGTGCTTATGTGTATCATTTTTCTTGGCCAGCGGCTGGGACTCTACGTTATTGTATTTTTATATTATTTGAGCTTAATTTGCGGAGCATAGGTAAGATGCAGTGGGAGCCGTGCACCTGATTCCGCGAGTGTTGTGACTTTTGTGGCCGCTGGACAAGTTCGTTGATTTGCGGCAGGCAAATGACCATATGCTCTTCAACTTTTTGTGGGCAGGAGCACTTGGGCTATTAGCCTGATCTTCTTCCACCTCCTCGTCGCGGTCTTCTTAGGTGCTCCTTTAGCGGCCTTTCTTTTGTCAATTCCCAGACACATTTGCCTGACCAAAGAACGAGATTTATGTTAGTCGGGTGTCATTTTAAGTTAATGGGTTATACTCCCCAACCAGTTTCTTTTTCTTCTTTTATAGATGAGTCGTTTTTGTGCGTCTTATTTTTACATTTTTTTTTCCTTATTTTAATGTTTTTTTCTAGTTTTCCAAGCCAGCTGCAGGTGAATTTAGTTGAATTTATGACTGTGGCTTTTAAATTGCTTTATGGCAATTTCCGTGGCACCCACACAATTTCAGACATTAATTTATCAGTTTCAGGTTTGGCTTTGATTTTGCACTTGAACACTGTTTGGTTGACTTTAACAAGTTAAAGTTTAAATATTGAAGAATCCGTGAAAGCAAATAATCTTTGTTACAAAAAATCAAAGTCCGTCCAATCGATATCAAAACAATGAAGCTATCAACTTTGCAATCACAGTTGTATGTCGAACAGTGTTGGGAAGCGTTTACTTAAATGTCATTTCGACCGAAAGTATTGCAAAGCGTCTTCCTTAACGTGTGCTATTTACTCGTATTTATTAAATATTTCAGAATAAGCTGTTTTATAAATATTTTTAAATCCTGAGTACACGATGAATCGCCAATTTAGCAGGATTGTGGATGAGAACGAGGAGAAGGATAAGTCGCCTAGTCCATCGAATTCGCCTCGTAACCAATCACCTTTATCGTCGCCAGAGTCTTCGCCGACCACAATATTGTATGTGGATGTGGTAAAGAATAAGCCCAAGTTGGATATGATGCCTTCACCTCCACCGCGTCAGCTCACTCCTCCCGAATTCAGCATTTTCCGAGAGGATTTTCCGGCTCTGCCGGGCACTGCGGCACTGCCATCTGCTTCGAATTCTTCTGTTCCCGACGATTGGACTTCCATGCTGAGCGAAGCCGACCAAGCGGAATTGGCCGCACTGGACGAATTGGCCGAATTCAGGGACATAACCTTATCCAGCGATACGAATGTAAATAAAGGTCCTATCGATACTTTCCAGCCGGAGAGTCAGAGCAACCAAAGCAAAGAAAAGCCCATGGATGTAAAGTACGTGCCCCAATTTTATGAATACCTCCCCTCGTCCTCTGGCGCTGTGAGCCTGATCTTCAGCAAGCAGTTCATACACGAAGGTGTCCGGCAAAGGGCCTTAAGTGCAGCCTACAGGAAGCAGTCCCGACTTAGTACCAGAATCCATCCTCCTCCCGGTTTCGAAAATACTAAAATCTTTTCCAGCCTGAAGACCAACAGCACGGGCATGCCACTGGGAGGAGTCGAATTGGAGATGGTATCACCCCTCTATGACAGGTTGTGGAAAATGAATGCCAAGTCGCAAGGTTCTGTCGTTGAGGGTTCCTTTGGGATGTTAGGACTGGCCAAAAAATTAGAATCTATCCATCGTAATCCGTTTTTTATGCCCCAGCTATACGGCAATGATGTCCCGCACAACGCTGGAGCTGGAGGAAATGGTGTCCACTCCACCTTTACGGGGCCATTTCAAGGGTCCTGCTCGAGTCCTCACGAGATGAACTACAAGGTGCCACCCAACTATCATTTGTCTGGAAGGTTAAATTTACAGCAGCCCAAAACGGAGGAGATGCAGGTGGAGCTGTTGTTTTTTTTCTTCTACAAATATGTGGGTGACATGATGCAGATGCTTGTGGCAGCGGAACTGGCAGAACGTGGCTGGCGCTATCATATGAAAGAACGCCTCTGGATCAATAGGCAGCTGGACAATCCCAACTATTCGTTTAAGGGGTTCCAGGAGTCTGGCGAGTACAACTATTTTAATATGTGCCAATGGAAGATCCTTCCCCGATATTTTCAACTGGAGCCCGATCATCTGGAACGGACCCTGTCTAAGGAGGAGCTTTATGAGATGCACGGATATCATCCACAGATGATGTAAACGAGTGGGACAGAATCTCTGTCAAACTCTTCTTTTTATAAATCCAAAGCTGAATGCGTGTTTTAAAACAAATGAGAAATAAATTTTAAAATCAGTTAGCCTTTTTTTCTAGGTGTTAATAGGTGAGTACTTTCTTGTTTTACAAGTTCATGAACAGAAATAAATATATTTTATGAACTCTATTTTGAAAATTCACTAGCAGATCGCAAGGCAAGTGGATGACCAACCCAAGCCACCAGCAACATTGTCACCTTGCAACTGACTGTTAACTGACCCACCGCCGAAAATCTCTGCAACCACACCCTGCAAATGCCTTCGCACCACATAGCACTGAAAAACCACTGAGTACTCAGTACCACCTCTTAGCCAAGCCCCAAAGATATGTACGAGCAAAATCGCAGCGCTCATTAGCAAAATGGAGCAGACGGACATGGTTGGACATTTGGAGTCGCAGCTTTCCGCCCAGGCACGATCTTTTGGCTGGCCAAGTGTCGCCGTCATTTAGCCCGCTAATTGCCACGTAAATTTGCAACCATTTTTGGCAGCTCATTAAATTTATTATTAAAACAAAAGCCGGAGCAAAGCCAAGTTAATTGCCATCAAATTGACATGCGAGCCGGTTGGAGACGGACGACAACACCCGCCTGGAATGGCAGCTTGGGATTTGAGACTTCGGATTCGGATTCGACTCGCCGGTGTTCGCAACTCTGCGCATGCGTATTAATTGCCATGGAAACTTCATAATTTCATGTGGAAAAATGTGAACGTTAGGCGTGCTTACTCAGTATATGTACTCGTACGGTATAGCCAACCCAACCACAAGTACAATGTGTAATTTAAGCGAGGGAGACTTAAAAAAGATTGGAGTGGAGTGGAACCAGGTTTTTGGATCTGTCCACTTGGCGGCTTATTTATGGCACGGCGAAGTTTGATTGAAATGTGTTGTCTGTGAAATTGACAACTTGGGTGAGATTTGCACGGCTTACAGCTGGATCGGTCTCGGGTTTGGATTCGCAGTTTGGTTTCGCTTTCGGGTTGAGGCACTTGAAGAATTTTACTAAATTTTTAATTTGTTGTTATTAGGGAAATGTTTATAGATTTTTAACAAAAATTTTCTTGTACTTAAAAATCTTTTAAAACTTGAAATGCAGCCTAACATATAGGGCAAAGTAGTATTTGAAAGCTATACTTTTTTCTTGCAGTGCAATTATCTAGAGCCAATTAAGCATGAATCATGCCCCAAAGACTCGTGGCAAGAGCGTTGTGCAACGAACGCTCTGATTAATAAGCCGCCCGCACATGGCCAGGAGTAGGCCTGGAATTAACCCCGAAGTCCCGATCTTGGGAGTACTTGTAGTCGCGAGTATAATATAATCGCGAGGCATAACCCCGGGCGCACGCATGTGCAACTGCAATTACCGTTAACCGCGGGGAAGGAGAAGGAGGAGTGTGGCAGGTAGGGTGTCAACACGGTCGTAACTTGCAATCAACTTAAGATGACAGGGGAAATGAAGCATTGACGCCTCGCACGTACCACATAAAGCCGGGAAGGAAGCCGCCGAGGAAAGTGCCTCCAAAGCAGCCACATCCATGGACCACTGGTGGGCTGCTTGCGGAATAAAAATAAATATAAAAAGGCCCTGCTGCAATCAGGTTTCTCCTTCTTTTCTTGTCCACTCCGAGTGGGTACCAAATTAGACACATTTTATTATTAAAATCCACTTGTGTTGAAATAAAACACGACTTTCTGTGTCGCACATAATGAAAATATATGGCAAGTTAATGCCAGAATTTATTTATCAGCACGAATGCACTGTGGGAAGATAGCCTATATAGTGGTAGAAAACTATTTGGTGATCACAGGCTTATGAAAAAATTGTAATCCTAAGCAAAGATCCTAGAATTTCGTTTTTTCTGTGACAGAATTCTATCTATCTACCATAACCTTTTATAGTTTTTATATTAACTTTATTTAAACTTATACTAAATCTCCTTTGACACCACTGTGTCTTGCCACAATGATCCCGAAAGATCTTTTTATTCCCCAAGCCCGTTTTGGAGAATTTCTTTTTCGTGGTGGCTGCAACTTTAGAATTTCGACTTGGCAACAGCCTCTGGAGATGCAAGAGCGAAGATCAATGAACGCTGGGATCAAGGATTTTGTCATCGGGGAGCGCTTTCATTCAAGTCACGTAGCCGTCTTTATGCATATATCAATCCGGCAAAGAACCTAGCCCAGCGATGCTAATTGCCGGAGCCAGAAGAGGCGTCTTCCTTTTGCCCAATGCTGGGCGAGAGGGCGAATTTGTAATTTTAATTAGTGACCGTCGTGGGGGAGAGCTCCACCAATCTCCACCATTTGCATGCGAAGATCGCGTCAGGTATATTTCGATTTTGGCTGGTATTTGGTTATTTATTGATTTATCTCTCGACTTTTTTCGGCTTTCGGCGGCTGATGCCAGCGGCCAGAGGCTAGCGTCCAGCGGGTTCGTTGTCTCATTCATCAGAGACGTCTGACTGTCTGGCGACTTCGCTGGGCATTATGCCATAGCCAGACCTATTGATATAGCCATAGCCCTGGCAGGGAGTTCAAAGACACAACGGGACATTCAACCTGGATGGGGTAAGCGACAAGGCCACGGCAACGACACCACGCTCCACACCCACGTGTGTCCAGCGGCTTGGGAGTCGTTGACCAGAAGGGTTGATTGAACTGGAGCTTCAACATGCACTGCGAAAATAGGTTACAACGTTTTGAGAGGTTATTGAGATCAAATTACAATTATTCAAATTAAATTTTCGATAGTTTTCTTAGTTTAATTGGAGTCCATCCAAGTTTTTATGGAAAATAGAGCACTATGTCTTGAAATATAAGAATTGAAATATTTAGAATAATAATTATTTAGACCTAATCGTCGTTTGGAAGATTTGGAAAGATGTCGATTTTTTCCGATTTTCAACTACTTTTGTTATGTTTTTTTTCAGTGTGGAAAACGGAAAAACATCCCGGAAGAACTGTTGTTGCTGCCTGCCCCAACAAACGGCAAATTGCAGCAGTGAGAACTATGGGCCTGATTTGCAATTCAGCAGTAGAACAATGGTCCCAGCATCCGCATCGATCGCGGAACGGTGATCTGTGATCGCAGATCGTCTTCCCGTAACAATTTCCCTTCTGCTTTATGCAGCATGCACAGAATTAACGGATTTCAATCCGAACCGATCTGAGCCGATCCGATACGATCGACTATACTATAGAATCCGGCGATCCCTCAATAGCTGGCCAGTGAACTGCAGCAGAGAAATCGCGGATCGAGAAAAGCGAGCAACACAAATGTAGGTGGTGTGCATATTAATAAAGCGAAAGTGCAAGAACCACAAAACAGCCGTTCATTGTGCTACAATGGAGTGCACCACCACCTCCTCCTCCTTCCACCATTCACACTCACATTTGCCCCCCAACATCCTCGGGCTGCATAATAAAAAAATTGCTACATTTCTAGGCGTTATATCTATACCGGCATAGATATCTTGCCGGCTTATCTAAGCATTTTACATTTTTTCTGCACACACGAAATTTGTCAAAACAAAATTTGAATTGAATTTGTCAAGGCATACGGTCCATTTACCCGAACCGCAACGATATTATGTAAGTTTAATTAGCATAAATGTGATTGATCCCCAAGTCTGGGCAAGTTTTCTCGTATTATTTGATTTTTATTGATCTTTTTTCCGAATGAAATGCAAAAAAATGCAATTGCATTTTTCCGTTTTTGTTTGTTTCTTTCCAATGCTTTTGTTGTTATGAATGCTGAACGTAACTATACTCGGAAAACTAAGCTCTAGAGACTAAGTGCTTACCCTACCACCAGTCTTTGTATATTAACTAGGGAGTATCCTTAAGGAACAAGTTTTTATATTAAATTATGTAGGTAAACTTTTGGTTTTTTTATATAGTCAGGCTGAATAATGCTAATATATTTCCTTATCACATCAAAAGAGGTCCTGAAGCCAGATATTTATGTACTTTTAAAACATTTGTGTCCACTGTTTTGGAAACCTTTTCTTCAAGCTTTTTCGAAATGAATGCATTCAAAATGCTTCCATTCAACAAGCTTACCATTCAAACGGGAACAATGAACTTCCCATTGATCATTGACAACTCCCCAGTCTGATGGGTATCGCAAATGTCCATAACTCTCTAAAGACATCCATCTATTGTTTAAATTTCCATACCATGTCATGCACATATTTAATAGCCATTCTGCATATGACAAAATATGCAATAGCCCGCGGTAAACCCAAAACCCAATCTTCGGTGCAGGTGAAATTTGCATGGTCATATCTATGACTTTATACGAGGTCATGGGGGAGATGAACTTGTGGCCAGGACCTGAGAAAAGAACCGCAACTTGGTATTCCATTGGCGCATTATGCTAAAATTAGGAATAATCCAAGCTTAACAAATCATTTGATAGTTAAATTTTGATCTCTGATCTGATTTGGTAATTAGATAGAGATGCTTTTCGAAGATGTAGCATTGATTTATGAATCTTCTTTTTAAGAAGAAGCACATTTAAGGATAAATTGTAAAGAGATACATCTAATAATAAATCTTTAATTAATGCAACCAATTATTTAGTCTGTTGTAGCATCTCTCTTAAGTCTTTCTGTCTGTCATCAATATTCATTAAGTTTAAGATCCAATTCTTGCCATTTTCAGAGACAATGATCCTGTGTCGCCAACTATGCGTAATCCGAATCGACTTCACAACAAACCTGTTAGCTCTTTTAGCCCCATCAAAATCCTCATTAGAATCAATGTCAGCCTGGGGGCCAGATTCCCAAGTGCATATAAAAATTAATCAGGCAAAAGGCTCCCCGCCGCAGAGAGCGACAAATTAACGAAACGAGCCCGAAAACGGCAGCAGAACAAGCAATAAAATCAAACTCCAACTCAGGTCGAGCTCAATGCAACCACAACAATGCCACAAGCTGCAAATGCGAGTGGGGCAGCAAACAAATCTCCCCAGCGACAAAGCAAATGAGACCCACTGAGCATTGCACTGAAAAAAGCCAGAAGTAACATTTAATATTACTGCTA